AAAAAAAAAGAGTCAAACACAACCAACTAAGCCACCCATGCGCCGCCTCCCCCCAATTTTTTTTTATGCTGAATAGTATTCCATGGTATGGGTCTGCCACAAATTATCCATTCACCGGTTGATGCATGTTTGGTTTGGTTGTTTCCAGTATTTGGTGATTATGAGCAGAACTTCTTTTTTTTTAATTTTATTTCTTTTTTCTTTTTTCTTTTATTTTTTAAAGATTTTATTTATTTGACAGAGAGAGGCACAGCGAGAGAGGGAACGCAAGCAGGGGGAGTGGGAGAGGGAGAAGCAGGCTTCACACGGAGCAGGAAGCCCGATGCGGGGGCTCGATCCCAGGACCCTGGAATCATGACCTGAGCCGAAGGCAGACGCTTAACGACTGAGCCACCCAGGCGCCCCCCCTTTTTTTTTTTTTTAAAGATTTTATTTATTTATTTGAGAGAGAATGAGAGAGAGCACATAAGAGGGATTAGGGTCAGAGGGAGAAGCAGACTCCCTGCCGAGCAGGGACCCCGATGCAGGACTCGATCCAGGGACTCCAGGATCATGACCTGAGCCGAAGGCAGTCGCTTAACCAACTGAGCCACCCAGGCGCCCTATGAGCAGAACTTCTATAAACATTTGTCTGCAGGTTTTTGAATGAACATATATAGTTGACCATTGAATAACATGGGCTTGAACTGTGTGGGTTCACTTAGATGCAGACTTTTTTTCATATATATATAGAACAGGACTGGAAATGAATTTTTTCTTCCTTATGATTTTCTTTTTTAAAAAACATTTATTGATTGGGGCGCCTGGGTGGTTCAGTCGTTAAGCGTCTGCCTTCGGCTCAGGTCATGATCCCAGGATCCTGGGATCGAGCCCCGCATCGGGCTCCCTGCTTGGCGGGAAGCCTGCTTTCCTCTCCCACTCCCCTGCTTGTGTTCCCTCTCTCGCTGTCTCTCTGTCAAATAAATACAATTTTTTTTTTTTGGTTTTTTATTTATTCATTTGACAGACAGACAGTGAGAGAGGGAACACAAGCAGGGGGAGTGGCAGAGGGAGAAGCAGGCTTCACGCGCAGCAGGGAGCCCGATGCGGGGCTCAATCCCAGGACCCTGGGATCATGACCTGAGCTGAAGGCAGATGCTCAACCATCTGAGCCACTCAGGCACCCCAATAAATAAAATCTTTAAAAAAAAATTTATTTATTTGAGAGAGAGACAGAGAGAGCACAAGCGTGGGGAGGGGCAGAAGGAGAGGGAGAAGCAGACTCTGTGCTAAGCAGGAGCCTGAGTCGGGGCTCGATCCCAGGACCCTGAGATCAAGACCTGAGCCAAAGTCAGACACTTAACTGACTGAGCCACCCAGGTGCCCCCCTTATGATTTTTTTTTTAAAGATTTTACTTATTCATTTGACACAGAGAGAGAGAGAAAGAGAGAGTGAGAGAGAGTACAATCAGGGGGAGCTGTAGGCAGAGGGAGAAGCAGGCTGTCCACCAGCAAGAAGCCTGATGTAGGACTCAATCCCAGGACCCCGGGATCACGACCTGAGCTGAAGGCAGACGCTTAACTGACCGAGCCACCCAGGCACCCCTATGATTTTCTTAATAACATTTTCTTTTCTCTATTTTATTGTAAGAATATAGTATATAATACATGCACAAAATACACGTTAATCGACTGTTTCTGTTATTGGTAAGGTTTCTGGTCAACAGTAGGTTGTTAGTAGTCAAGTTTTGGGGGAGCCAAAAGTTATATGTGGATTTTCAACTTCGCAGGGGGTAGCACCCCTAACCCACTTGTTCAAAGGTCTACCGTATTTTCACTTATCTTGGGTATAAACATAGGAGTGGATTTTGGATCACACTCATTGCTTAAGAAACTGACCAGATGCCTTCCAGAGTGGCTAAACCACTTGGTGTTCCCTCCAGCAACGGATGAGGAGGGTTCCTGTTGCTCCAAATCCTTTTCACCACTTGCCATTATCGTCAGTTGTTTCTTGTTTGTTTGAACCATCCTAGTAGATGTGAAGGGATAGTTCCTGGTGTTAATTTGCATTTCCCTAAGGAGTAATGGTGTTTCCTGTGCTTATTTGCCATATGTATATCTTCTTGGACGATCTGTCCAGACTTTGGCGCATTTTTAAATTGAATTCCTTGTCTTCTTTTTATTGAGTTTGGAGACTTCATTATATAGCCTGGATACAGGTCCTTTGTCATACATATATTTTCTCCTAGTATGTAACTTGTCTTTTTATTCTTTTGACAGTGTCTTTTGCAGAGCAGAAGTTTTCAGAGTTTTTAAGAAGTTTTTTGACGTTTTGTTTTTTAAAAGAAGTTTGGATTTTTGGTTGTTTAAAATTTCTGATTTCTGGGGCGCCTGGGTGGTCCAGTCAGTTAAGCCTCTGACTCTTGATCTCAGCTCAGGGCTTGATCTTGGGGTCATGAGTTCAAGCCCAGGATTGGGCTCCACACTGGGCATGGAGCCTACTTAAAAAATAATTAAAAAAAAATAAAATTTCTTCTTTCTTTTTTTTTTTTAAAGATTTTATTTATTTATTTGAGACAGAGAGAATGAGAGACAGAGAGCATGAGAGGGAGGAGGGTCAGAGGGAGAAGCAGACTCCCTGCTGAGCAGGGAGCCCGATGCGGGACTCGATCCCGGGACCCCGGGATCATGACCTGAGCCGAAGGCAGTCGCTTAACCAACTGAGCCACCCAGGCGCCCTAAAATTTCTTATTTCTTTCCTAAAATTGGAATAGCTGCTTGACCAGGGCCCCCAGCACCACCCTGCCTTTGGTGTCAGCTGCCTGGCCCCTGGGAACATTTGCTTTAGTGGTGGGAATGTGCTCGAATGGGACTTGAGCAGGTAGAGGGTGACAGTTGAAGAGTTACAAGATTTGGGTTTGAATTCTGACTTCACCGTGCTTTTGCTGTGTGACCCAGAGCTAATCATTACCCTCTCTGAACTTAGTTTCTTCATCTGTAAAATGGAATCAACAGAGTCCCTCCCTGTACCCCTACCCCAGAAAAAAAGGTTAATATACGGATGCTGGTTTCGCTGTCCTACTCTAGGAGATTTCAGACTTATAACTCAGCAGAGGGATCATTCAAATAAAATCTTACACTGATTCTTAGTAGGTAGGACTGGAAAGGGGAGGGTTCCATTTCCTTCCCCTGCCCCCTTGCACCCACCAGAGCATAGCCTGAAGTCAGCTGACCAGTCTGACCCCCTCACTTTAACAACAGGGTAACAGCCCAGAGAGGGCAGTGGCCTTCCGAAGGCCACACAGTATGCTGCCAACACATAGCTCCCCACACTCATCCTCAGTTCTCCATATCAACTGCCTTGCTGAGTCCACGCCCAGGTAGCATGTATGGGGCTGATTGACTTACAATTGGCAGTGGTTCCTGAGCTCTGTGCTAGGCACCATCCTGAGCATTTTAGCTGTGTTCACACTGGTCACCAAGATGACCTGAGGGAGGTGGTGCTTGTCCCCATTTTGTGGATGAGGAAACTGAAATTCAGCCATTTCCCCCCAAGTCACACCTCTGGGAATTGGCAGAGCCAGCATCTCCCTGGCTCGTCCTGAGGATCTCTGTCTTCCCAGTGCCACCAGGTTGGGGTCCCACCTTCCTCCCCTCTCTCTGTAGCTCTATCTCCATCACAGTCTGTATCTCCCCTCTAGCCACACGAGCTTCCTTGCTAGTCCTCAGACAAAAACCAAATCCTGCTCCAGGGCTTTTGCACTTGCTGATCCCGTCCCTCAGCCCCTCCCCCCCACGTGTTTTCTCCTACCTCCTGACCAGTGGCCTACTCCTTCTCATCTTTCAGGGCCTGCTCACATGTCCCCTCCTCAGAGAGGCCTGGCTCAGCTACAGCAGCTCAAATCACCTCTCCAGTAACGTTCAGTCACCCACCTGGTTTTTAATTCTGTGCATGGCAGAATCCAGTTCATCTGTTCATTTGTTACATTTTATGATTTATTCAGTAAACATTTATTGGGTGTCCTCTGTGTGCCAGGCCATCTTCCTGGCTCAAGGGATAGAGCAATGAACAAGGCAGACAAAAATCCTTGCTCTGCAAAGCTTAGTTCTAGAAAGGAAGGCAAATAGTAAAGAAGTCAAATATAGAGTATATCAGGTAAGTAGTATTTCTTTTTCTTAAGGAACGGAAATATAAAATATTAGGGCAGAGATTCAGATCTTAGATGTGTTGGTCAGGTGAGGCCTCCTGAGAAGACAAGGTTTGAGCTGAGGCCTGAAGGAGGTAAAGGAGGAGCCATTGGAGATCTGGGGAGGGGAAACAGCCTGTGCAAAGGCCCTGAGGCAGGAATGTATCTGGAATGTTTAGGAAACAGCAAGGAGGCCATCAGTGGCTGGAGTAGAGTGAGTGAGGGGTAGACTGGGAGGTCATGGGGCAGGGCCTTGTGGGCCACAGTGGGGACTTGCACCCACTGGGCTGGGAGCCACAGAAGGGTCTGAGCAGAAGAAGGATGTGACCTGACACATGGAGGGGAACAGACTGAGGAGCAAAGACAGGAGCCAGGGGCCAGGGCAGAGACAAATACACTGGTCCAGGCAAGCAATGAGACAGGGCTGACCAAGGAGGGGGTGAGAAGTGGACAGATTCTGAATAGCCTTAGGCATTGAGGAAAGAGTAGAGCCAAGAAGGCCCTCACACTTTGGGATGTGCACTGCCGCTAGGCTAACCTGTTTATAGTCCAGCCCTCCCCATGCCATGTCCGTGAGGGACAGATAGTGGTCTGTCTCGGTCACTGCTGTGTCCCCAGCACCTCTACAGAGCCTGGCTCACAAAGGCGCTCAATAGTTGTTTGAGCTCTGCAGCTCCCCATCTCCCATCTCTTTCGGGATATCTGTCTCTCTTTAATGTTTTCTATCTGACCCGCCCACCTCTACCAGGAATTTCCTTGGTACCCTTATTCCTCTTGACCTCCCCAATGCCATTTCAGCCCCCCTGACCCCTCTTCTCGCCCATCCCCTTACAGCTTCGAGGCAGAGAATGGGCCCACGCCATCTCCTGGCCGCAGCCCCCTGGACTCGCAGGCGAGCCCGGGCCTCGTGCTGCATGCTGGGGCCGCTGCCAGCCAGCGCCGGGAGTCCTTCCTGTACCGTTCAGACAGCGACTACGACATGTCCCCCAAAACTATGTCCCGGAACTCGTCGGTCACCAGCGAGGCGTGAGCACCCCCTTCTCACCCTCCAGGCCTGCTCCCAACATAAGCTGCCCTTGACAGCAGGGAGTGGGGACACTGCCCAAGCCCCCGGGCCACCTCTCCCTTCTAGGGAAAAGTAAACAGCCCCCTTGCCCACAGCAAGGGCCCAGTCCCACTCACCCAGCCTGCCAAAGGCCACTCCTACGCATGGGCAGCTGGGGCCTGGTCCCCCCCCCAGCCTGTCCCTCCAACAAGGAGGGAACTCCACTTGAGCCCCTCCCTGCTGCCACATCTTCCCACAGACTGTCCACCTTGGCTGAGCCCCCTCTTCCTTCCCCCCCCTTCAGGCTTCCCTAAGCCAGCCCCCCTTACCATGGCCACCTGTTGAGGTGTGAGCACCCCCCAGGCCTGCTCAGTCCCCTCCCCTCTCGCTGGATCCTCCAGCCCTGGCCCCACCCATCCAGGTACCCACCTCAGCCCCCCCAACTCCTTCCTGCTCCCCACCCCCTCCTACCCACGGTGTGTACCAAGCCCAGCCTTGGCAATGTATTTGTGGCCATCCCCTTTGTCTCTGCACACCCCCTCCCTGCCCACCCACGTGAGCTCCTCTCTCTGACCACCATTTCCTTTAGGACCAACCCCCTTAGGGTGTGTCTACCCTTGGGAGGTAGTAAGTGCCTTCTCCCCTCACCTGTTGGGGCCTCCCCTCCCAGCCCACCAACCTCCCCAGGCCCAACCCCCACAGAGTGTCCGCTCTAGAGAGTTGCTTCTCTGGCACCCTAGCCCTTCTCCACCCAGGCCCGTGGGTGTCCCACTGTGAGGATGCCTGACCTGCCCCTGTCCTTGATTGCAGGCATGCTGAGGACCTCATTGTGACACCTTTCGCCCAGGTAAGACCCCTCTCCTAAGGAGAGAAGGGGCCCCAACCCTCCCCCCACACCTGGGGACAAGGGCCTAGCCCCAGCTGCCCCTCCGGGTGGCTCCCTCCCCTCACTGCTGCTCCCTGTCCTAGGTGCTGGCCAGTCTCCGGGGTGTTCGCAGCAACTTCTCACTCCTGACCAATGTGCCCATTCCCAGCAACAGGTAAGTCAAAGCTGGGCCCCAGCGCTCATGATCACAAGGCTAAGCACACCTGGGTTCAACTCTTAGTTCCACTGTGTGACCTCAGGCAGGAACTTGACCTCTCCAAGCCTCTGTTCAGGCAACAGCTCCCTCTGAGCCAGTAAACCATTGCAGTTTGAATGCCTAAGACAGAAACTTAAAAATAAAGACCAAGGGGTCCAAACACATGGTGGTGAAGCCAAGGGTAGCCAGTTACCCCAGGCTTGGGGCCACTCCAGGCCCCGATGCCAACTTTCCGGGCAAATAGCATCTTGTAGTACCTTTGCTCCCCCTCTATAAAATGGGAATTTAATAGGGCCTCCATTAGATGCTGCTGTGAGGAGTCTGGAAGATGATACATAGAAAAGTGCGAGAACATTGTGCAGCACATAGTAAGTGCTCACTAAATAGCAGCAGTTATTACGTGGGGGCAGGGGCGTGGCTGAGAACTGCCGCTCCCTCCAGGAGTTGGGAGAGATGCTCAAGGAAGTAGGAATTTTGGAGACGAAGGACCTGTCCCTACCTCTGGTCAGCCCTGTCACTTCCCTGAGCCCGTTTCCTCATCTGTAAAATGGGTCCTTATGGGGCTTTGTGAGAAGCTGCAGGCTGAGTACATGGGACACAGTGAGCGCTCAGGAAAAGGAAAATCGGCATTATTCATGGAGAGGGGGAGGCAGGAATCTGGGGGCGCACAGGCTGATGCTGGAGCCCCATTTCTTTGCAGACGGTCCCCGTTGGGCGGCCCAACCCCCGTCTGCAAGGCCACGCTGTCAGGTAACAAAGCCCAGGGGGGTGGGAAAGCGCCCCTCTTGCTGCTGGGGGGAGTCCCCTCACTCGAAGTGGCTGTCTTAACTGCCCTTTCCCAGCACCCCTCTCACCTGATGGACCCCCATCATCACGGGCTGGGGCCTCTGGGTCACCACCTGTGCTGTCCCTTCTCTAGAAGAGACATGTCAGCAATTGGCCCGGGAGACACTGGAGGAGCTGGACTGGTGTCTCGAACAGCTGGAGACCATGCAGACCTACCGCTCCGTGAGCGAGATGGCTTCCCACAAGGTGAGCGGGCCTGGAGGCAGCAGGGCGGGACCAGCCCCTGGGCGGGGCCTGAGGATGGGGGCCAACCGCTGGGTGGGGCCTGTGGGCGGGGCCACCCTTGGGGGCGGGGCTGGTTTCTGGATAGGGCCAACGAGGTGGGGCCATTCCCTAGGCCTGTGGGGTGGGGCTAACTGCTGGGTGGGGCCTGGGGTGGGGCTAACCATGGGGCGGGGCCAACCTGTGGATGGGGCCTATGAGGTGGGAGTCCATCCCTAGGCGGAGCGGACCCCATAGGCTGCCTGTTCCTGTGGATTCTGACTTTTCCCAGGGGTGGGGGAGCCTGGTGTGTGTGGATGTGTATGGGTGTGGGTGTCTGTACGTCTGTATGTAGACAATCGTCTCTCTTAAGGGGGGTTGTTCTATGCTAGAGTCTACAAGTGTATATGTGATTGTGGGTCTGTGCGGCTGTCAAATGTGTTGGCTACACATTTGCAGCACAAGGTGAGGTGGGAGGGGATGTTTTAAGAGGGCGCATCAGGAAGTCAGGAGGAGTGGCGTGCAGATGTGTACCTACGGAGGATGTATGGGTGTGCACAGGCGATTATACTGGGTTGTAAGTGTGTGGGCCTGTGCCAGAGGGGTATGTATGTTTACAAGTGTGAGTTGGTCTAGGAATGAATCTGAGTGTGTATCTCCATGTGTTTGAGACTCTGTGCGTGTGTGTGCTTACAGGGCTGCAGGGGAGGGTGCAAGGCTTCCATGTACAGCTGTGCAGATTGTGTACTGCACAACTCCAGAGGGCACCATTCAGAAAGCAGGCAATATGAATGATGTTTTCTGGAGTTGTGCAGCTTGGTGGTAGCCTTCGTGGGAGGATGCCTATCAGGAAATGAATGTGCAGGTGGAGGTGTCTGTGTTGGGGGGTGCCTACACCCCTGTGGGTGGAGGCTTGTCTGGGAACATGCGAGTCTGAGGGTGATTGTGTCTCTGAAGGTGTATTGAGCATCTGAGAATGTGACTGTTTCTAAATGTAGGTCTTCGGGTGTGTTTCTGCAATGGTGTGTGTGTGTATTTGTGGGTGTGAGTGTGAGCATTCCCTTGTAGATTCCTCAGGGTCTGTTTGTGCCCAAGGTCACAGGGGTATTTGTGTTTGTTTGAAAGTGTGTCTGTGGCAGTGTTGAGTGTGTGTTAAGTGTGCCAGTAAATCTGGGTGTTTGTCCCTAGGTGTGTGTCTCCACGTCTGGGTGTGAGTCTGTGTTCTTGGAAGGGGTGTGTCTGAAAGTGTTTAGATCCTGTACGCCCAACCAACTCCCTGTAAATGTGTTGGACATCAGAGTCGTGACTGTGTGATGTGTGCTTGCGTGCGGGTTGGTGGGAAAGGTGTGTCTCAGAGTGTTTGTGTGTCTGTGAATGTGTAGAGTGTCTGGGTGTGTGTCTTTGTCTCTGGGTATGTCCACGGAGGGGACGTGTCCTCCCAAGGGTGTGTGTGCCTCCCTGCCTATCCCTGGCAGCCCACCTGGATCTTGGCTTAGGCCTGCGGGCTCGGATGCCCCTTTAACGCCCCCCCCCACCCCCGGCACCACCTGACGTCGCATGCAGCCTGCCAGTGCCGCAGCGAGCGAGCGTGCACACGCACACACACGGGCGCGCATACGGAGCCCAGAGCCTCCGAAGCCACCTCCCGGGACCCTCGCCCTGCCCCCTCATGGGCAGGCGTCCCAGGCCGCCTCCAGCCGCTGCCGCGGGGGGGCCCATCAGGGCCAGGGGCTGGCAGACCATGTAACCAGGGCTGCTGTCGGGAGCGCGGAGGGGAGGGGAGCCCCCAGCCCTGCTGGGCCGGCCCAGGCCCCTCCGCGGCTCCCCCTTGCACTGCCCACCTGCCCAGAGCCGCCCCCCTTCCCCCCACACACAGTGGCTGTTAGCCCCGGGATTCCCCAAGCCCAGCCTCTCTGTGCGGCAGCCCCGAGCGGGGCTAAGATTCCAAGATGCCCTTGGTGGATTTCTTCTGTGAGACCTGCTCCAAGCCGTGGCTGGTGGGCTGGTGGGACCAGGTAGGGGAACTCGGGGAGGAGGATGGGCAGGAGACTTGGCGCTGACCCTCCCACCTTGGAGCCTCCAGCCCCTGGTGTGGGCTGGTGGGTGCAGCTGTGCACGTGTGTGGCCTGGACATGGAACCTTGTGACTGTCTGTCTCTGTGTGGCCCAGGGCTGGGCGGGGAGAGGCGGTTGGTGGGGATGTGGGTCTCTTGCTGGGTGTGACTGTCAGCAGTCGCCTGTGTGTGTCTGCAGTGGTGTGGGGCTGTCTGACCATATGCTTATTTGCCTGGGTCATGATGTGGCCCTCTCTGAGATCATACGGCTCTGTTTGTGGTGGTGTGTGTTGGGACACGTTTGTGAGCCCAGAGCTGTGTGATTTTTCTGGGGCATGTGACCCCAAGTGTCAGTGACCGCCTTATTGTGTATGCCCCTTGAGTTGTGTGTCTGTGGCCGTGTAGAACGGTGTGAGATGGTAGTCTGTGACTCTGTGTGTGGTTGTGTGACTTTGTGGGTCCATCTTGTGTGTGTATGTGTATCTTTCTGTGCAACTGGGGTCTCTGGCAGCAGTGGGAGGAGTAAGCGCCCCATCCTGGTGTGGGCTACGTGAGCTCACCCTTCCTGTCAGGTGTCCCTCCTGCCTCTCTGGACAGAGTCTGCTCCTGGTTTGGGGGTGCTTTGGTGGAGCTTGGGGGCGGGGAGCCAATGCCCTTTCTCCTCCATGCACAATGTCACGGCAGACGCTTGTGTGAAGTGGCGTGGGGGGACCAGGAGGGACCGCCAGGCCTGGTTCTATGTATACTCTGTTCATCTGTGCATCTATCCACCCCTCTGAGGTTGGGGGAGAGGGGGCTATGATGGGAACCCCCCCTCCCCTGGGTGAACGAACAAGGTTTCCTCAGCTCAGTATTCTCCCCTGCCCCTGCCAAACCTTCTCTTCACCCAGAACTTGCATTCTCTCCTGCAAAGGAGAGACTGTATTCTCTCCTTCCAAACTGCGTTTGGAGCTGGGGGCCAGGACGCCTTGGGAGTGGGGTCCATATCTGGGAAGACTTGGGCCAGGGTAGCTCTGGGAAGGCAAGGGTTAAGGGGCCTACAGCCTGCCCCCTTTTCCCCCAGCTCAGCAGCTGGTTGGAGGGGGAGTTGCTAAGGAGACTCCCATCACCATGGCGATGGGATTCTCCTGACACCCCATTGGCTCACTGTTAGGCAGGAGCCCCTCCCTTCCACAGGTGCCCCTCTGGCTCCTCCTTTTGGGCCGGAGGAGGAGGAAGCCTGGGGAGGGGTGCCCCCCTTCCTCAGGAAGGGAGAGGTATGCTGGGTCCTGACTTCCCAGCCTGGGGCCTCCATCCAGACCTGGGAGGAGAGGAAGGGCTGACCCCTCCCCTCTAGCAGCTTGCTGAGGGCTCTGTTGGCTGAGCAGAGAAGTAGGAGGAACTCGTGGGGTCTTCAGAAGTTTCTTGGGAGGGGCTGACCTCCCCCACCTTCTGATGCCCGGTCTCCCCATCATTCCTTCCTTCTTGCCTCCTTCACCTTAGTTCAAGAGGATGTTAAACCGTGAACTCACACACCTGTCAGAGATGAGCAGGTCAGGAAACCAGGTCTCTGAGTACATCTCTACCACATTCCTGGGTGAGTGAAGGGCAGCACTTTGTGGGGAGGCTGCACGCCTGGACTGGAGGGGGCTGCCCCAGACCGCAGGTCCTATTGCTGACATTTGCCCAAGGGACCCTGACTCCTAATTCCCCAAAGATCCAGGTTACCATGCTCAAGAGTTCCCATACTCTCGATGCCCCCAAACTCAGAGGGATGTCGACTTTATAGAACCTCCACATTAAAAAATCTCTCCAAACAGAAGAGCCCCTCCAAACTCAGTGGAACCACAATGGAACTCTCAAACTCAAGACCCCAAGAAACCCACAAACTCAAATAGAATTCTTAAACTTTAAATGCCTCCAGGCTGAAAGACCTCCTCGAATTCAGTAGAGTGTCCAAACTCGGATTCCCCCACACAAATTCAGGAGACCCCGCAAACCCTCAGTAGGGTTCTCAAACTTAAAAGAACCGCTGTCCTTAGGAGCCCAGAAGAGACCCCCAAACTTTAAAAAACCTCCAAGCTGAGATTCAGTAGAATCATCCAACTTGATATGACCCTCAAATTCAGCAGACTCCTCCAAATTTTCCATACCCAGTACAGTTATACAGAATACCTCAAATTCACTAGAACCCTCAAGCTCCTCGGGACCTCCAATTCGTCCTAATCTCTGAACCCAAGAGCCCAAGCTGAGGATAATTTCACCCTCTCAATTTATCACCAAAAGTTTCCAAATTCTGGAGAATGGCCCTGCACCGATCTCAAGAGAAGTTCAGAGTTTCAAATGCTCCCGCCAATGGGGGTGTGGCCATGCAGAGTTCTGAGATCCAGCCAATGGGAGCACGGCATGCAAATAACCCCTATTAGACCCTGTTATTGACTGGCAGGGCCCCAGGTCACAATGGGTGGTCCGGGCTCGGCTCTGGAAGCCCTTGAAAGCTCAAGAAGAGGGCTCCTGGGGCTGGCCCCCGGGCGGCTGGTGTCAAAGGGGTGGGCTGGTGGGAGGGTTCATGGAGCCAGAGACTACCCTTCCCTCCCGCCTCTCAGTGCTCTCCACCCCCATCAGCACTCTTAGTCACCATGGAGGTGTCTTCCCTGCCCAAGAAGTTTCCCTGCCTATACAGGGCAGGCAGCGGCTCTCTCTAGCATCCCCACCTCGCTTCCTGACTTCCCATGCCACCCCCCTGCCAAACCTGGGGATCAGACTGGGGCTACCCCATAGCTCCGGGCCAGCCCCAGGGTCCCCACTCCAACCCACCACTTCCCAGAAGAATTCCTACCTTCTTTCTGGTTTCCAGCCTATAATTAACCAAAAGCATGACACCCTGAAGGGGTCTGCCCTCCTGAGTGAGCCTTCCCAGGGCACGGTGGGGAGCAGGGGAGGGGGACTGAGGGCCAGATGAGGGCATCTCTGTGAGGTGCTAATGCTTGTCTCTCCTCCATCTTCTGCAGACAAGCAGAATGAAGTGGAGATTCCATCACCCACAATGAAGGATCGAGAAAAACAGTCAGCCCCACGGCAGAGACCCTCCCAGCAGCCCCCGCCCCCTGGGCCGCAATTCCAGCCCATGTCTCAGATCACAGGGGTGAAGAAGCTGATGCACAGCAGCAGCCTGAATGATTCCAGCATCCCCCGCTTTGGGGTGAAGACCGACCAAGAGGAGCTCCTGGCCCAAGTGAGTGGCAGCTCCGCAGGGGCTGGACTAGAGAGGGACAGGTGTCTCCTGGGGCCCAGACAGGGACTGGGCATTGGGTCAGTCTGAAATGAGGACTCAGGTATCCTGGGGTTATGAGACTCTCAGGAGAGGGGGAGTAAAGGAAGCAGGATAGGAAGGAGCTAAGCCAGGAGGTGGCGTCAGCTAGCATCGGGCCTCAGCCTGACCCATCATGGAGCTCTGGAGTGTGAACACCACCAGAGTTGAGCCCACCTTAAGGCAAGAGTGCTGGACTTTTGTACCCCTGCGTCAGTCATTGGCTGTGAGCTGCCCCCAGAGTGGACAGCATTACCTCCTCTGTGTAGATCCCGTAGGGGCAAGAGCAGTTTTCTGGAGAACAGTGTGGCATGAGTCTTGGTAGGCAGCAGTCCCAGCAGGTGGGGGATGGGTGCACCCATCAGTGAAGGGGGTCTGGTCAGAACCCCCATAGCATCCACTACCGGCCAGACCTGGGTTCAGCCCCTGGCTCTTCCGTGACACCTAAAGCCAAGGGGCTCCCACGTGGGTTTGTACGGCGGATGCGGTGCATGTTTGTTGGCTTACTCAATTGCCATTTATTGTAACCTGCAAGCCGGCACTAGGCTGTGCCACCTTCAGTCACCCAGCATTTATTGAGCACCTACTGTGTGCTGGCACTGTTCAGGGTCCTGGAGAGACATGGGGAACTAGCCCCTGTTCCTTTCCCCCTGGCGCTGATGAGCAGTTTAGCTCAGAAGTTAAACTGTGCTTTGGGGTCAGTCTAGCTGAGTTAACATTATGGCTTGGCCACTTGTGAGATACAGGGTCTTGGGGAAGTCTCATCACTCCTCTGGGCTTTGGTTCTCAAACCAACCAAATGAGATCAAGCACTTAGTGTAATGCTTGGCAGATAATAATCACTCAGTACACAGTCGCTGTGGTTGCCCTGTTATCTTCCGGCTGGTAGGACACGCACGGTAAATTCCATGCTCCTGAGCATGCCACCCCCTGGGCGAGCAATAACGGTGCCACTTTCAGACCAGAGCTCTGAACTGCTAGGAAAGAGTCAGGAGGGGTGAAGATCAACCAAGAGGAACTTCTGACCCAAATGGGTAGGGGCTTGGCCCTGGTTCTTGTGGGCTTCTGACCTCTGGCCTCCAACCCCGCCAGGAACTGGAGAACCTGAACAAGTGGGGTCTGAACATCTTTTGCGTGTCAGAATACGCCGGAGGCCGTTCCCTCAGCTGCATCATGTACACGATATTTCAGGTAGGGTGGGCCGAGTGGCGCAGGGTGCGAGGGAGGGGTCACCGTGGAGAGCGGAGAGCCAGCAGGAGTCACTGCCCCCCTCCTCGTACCTTACCCTCAGGAGCGGGACCTGCTGAAGAAGTTCCGCATCCCGGTGGACACCATGGTGACTTATATGCTGACCCTGGAGGACCACTACCACCCCGACGTGGCCTACCACAACAGCCTGCACGCGGCTGACGTGCTGCAGTCCACGCATGTGCTGTTGGCCACACCCGCGCTCGATGTGAGCCTGGCCCCCGCGTCTCTCACTGCCCGCCTCCCGTCTCCCGTTTGTCTCTGTGGCCTTGGGTCTCTGACCTCCATCCCTCTCTGATCCTGTTCCTCTTTCTGGTCCTTATCCCTCTCTCCTGACCCCCCTCTTTTGTGACACCCCCATCTCTCTCTTACCCCGTCTCTCAGAACCCCCACCTTTCTAACCCGTCTCTCTCCGACCCCCACTCTCTGCCCCTAGGCTGTGTTCACGGACCTGGAGATTCTTGCCGCCCTCTTCGCGGCTGCCATTCATGACGTGGACCACCCTGGGGTCTCCAACCAGTTCCTGATCAACACCAGTGAGTGGCCCCCTGCGGGGGCGGGGCCTGCCGGGTTGGGGGCGGGGCCTGCCGGGTTGGGGGCGGGGCCTGCCGGGTTGGGGCGGGGCCTGCCGGGTTGGGGGCGGGCCCAGGTGGCCCCTGCGCTCCTCTGACCACCTGCCTGGGCCTGGGCCGCAGATTCGGAGCTGGCGCTCATGTACAACGACGAGTCCGTGCTGGAGAACCACCACCTGGCCGTGGGCTTCAAGCTGCTGCAGGAAGACAACTGCGACATCTTCCAGAACCTCAGCAAGCGCCAGCGGCAGAGCCTGCGCAAGATGGTCATCGACATGGTGGGCGGGGCCGGAGCGGGGACCCGGCTGGAAAGGTCGCCTGTGAGGCGTGGGGAGCGGCGGGGTCTGAGTCCAGGACTGGAAGCCCCGGGAGAGGCGTCCCTTATGGGGGCTGGGGACAGGTTGTGCTGAGCGAAAACTAGAGAGGCGCAGGTGGGGTCAGTACAACCCAGAACAGGGCTTCAGCGTCCCCTGTCATGCCCCCTCACCCACAGGTGCTGGCCACGGACATGTCCAAACACATGACCCTCCTGGCAGACCTGAAGACCATGGTGGAGACCAAGAAAGTGACCAGCTCGGGGGTCCTCCTGCTGGACAACTACTCCGACCGCATCCAGGTGCCTCCTCGCCCACCATATAGGGAGACTAGAGCCTCTCTCTTCCTCTCTCCCCTTTGGGTCTGGGTGGTTCCCCTCCCTCAGCCTCCAGCTCCCATGTTGTCCATCTTCCTGTCTCTTTTCTCTCTCCCTCCCATCTCTCCATCCCAACCCCCATCTCCTACCATCCCTCCTCATTTCCTCTTACTGCCTCCTTCAATACTGCCTTCTCTCCTCTCCCCCACCCATCTCTTCCTTTTCTCTCCCCCTCCCTTCCTCTCTCCTCTCCTCCCTCTCTCCATATCCCCACCACGCCTTCTCCTCGCTCTCCCCATAAAGGGGGAGGTAAGGAAGCATGAGGTCCCACACTGGGACAGGGGCATGGCCTCTGAAGGTGCCCCACCTCATGCAGGTCCTTCGGAACATGGTGCACTGTGCGGACCTCAGCAACCCCACCAAACCCTTGGAACTGTACCGCCAGTGGACCGACCGCATCATGGCCGAGTTCTTCCAGCAGGGCGACCGGGAGCGGGAGCGGGGCATGGAGATCAGCCCCATGTGCGACAAGCACACGGCCTCGGTGGAGAAGTCTCAGGTACAGTTTTGTGGCCCCTGTGGAAGGCAGCAGGGTGGCCCTCCCCATCCCATGCTGGCTTGGAGCTCTGAGAGGCCCAGATGCTCCTGACCTGCCCCTCCACAAAGCCAGGTTATTCTGTGTTTGTTTTTTTTCCTTTTCTATCTTGATGGGCAGTCTGCAACATTTTCTCTCCTACAGAACAGCCAAACTGGGCCTCTGGACTCACCGTTTGTAGACCTGAGTCAAACAAGTTCTAACTCATTTGTAGCCACCAAACAGCATTAATAATGATACTTACCCAGCTCTTAGTTACAGACCTTACGTCGATACGGCCTCTCAATTTCCCTGTAACCTGGCCACCGATCTTGTCCTTGATTTTTGGTGGAGGATTCTCACCCTCCCCACTTCCAGTCTCCTCCCTGGTGAGACCTATTTTTCCCAGTTGACTGTGCATGCCTTTCCAGACCAGAGTTACCCAGCGCTGGCACTGTTGACATCTGGAGCCAATCATTCTCTATCGCGGGGGCCGTCCTGCGCTTTAGAGGATGTAGAGCGGCATCCCTGGCCTACACCCTCCCCTTCCACTTAGAACCACCAAAAATATTTATAGACACTTCCAAATGTCCCCTGAGCATGCAGATCACCCCCATCCTCCCAACACCTGGGAAAACCAGTTTCATACATTTTATTATGGTTATGTTTACAGGCAACTTAAATAGTTCATGTGTTTTGCTTTTTTATTTTTTATTTTATTTTATTTATTTTATTATTTTTTAAAGATTTTATTTATTTATTTATTTATTTGACAGAGAGAGAGACAGCGAGAGAGGAACACAAGCAGGGGGAGTGGGAGAGGGAGAAGCAGGCTTCCCGCGGAGCAGGGAGCCCGATCCCAGGACCCTGGCATCACGACCTGAGCTGAAGGCAGACTCTTAACGACTGAGCCACCCAGGCGCCCCATGGGTTTTGCTTTTTTAAAACATATGAATTTTATCAACATATACGTATTTTTATACAGCTTGCTTTTTTCCCCAAACAGTGCCTTGGAGATCTGTCCAAGTTATTACACGTCGATTTAGTGCATCCCTTTTGACTGTTGTATAGTATTCTCACAGATTTAGATAGCTAATGGTTTCTGGGGAAACTAGCTAATGGTTTTTTTCCTGTGGCTGGACATTTAGGTGTCGAGGAGTTACAAATTCACAGTGACTCAAACAAGATAAACGTTCATTTGTGTTCCCTCTTATGTAAAAAAGCCTCGAGGAAGAATATCGGTCCCTTTGGCTTCATGAAATGGTCAGGCACCTAGGAGACTTCAATCATCAGAAGCTTGGGGCCTCTGTCCCCAGAGATGCCTCTCGTAGTCAGGGATGCTGTGGAAGCTCTAGCCATTCTGGCCACAAAGCAGGGAGGAGAGGTCTCTGCCAGTTGAGGCAGCACCCCTACTCCCGACTCCCACCCCAGCTCCAATCTTCCATCTACCTGTGGTCACATGGCCACCCTCTCTCTTTGCAAAGGAGGTTGGGAAATGTAGTTTTCAGCTGTGTAGGGGAAGCATTGCTTCCACCAAGAAAAATCAAGATTCTGTTAATAAGAAGGAGGGAAGAGGGACGCCTGGGTGGCTCAGTCGGTTAAGCGTCTGCCTTCAGCTCAAGTCATGATCCCAGGGTCCTGGGATCGAGTCCCATATCGGGCTCTGTGCTCAGCAGGGAGCCTGCTTCTCTCTCTGCCTGCCGCTCCCCCTGCTTGTGCTCTCTCTTGCTCTCTTGCTCTGAAAAATAAATAAAATATTTTTTTAAAAGCTTAAAAAAAATAAAGAGGGAAGATAATATCAAAGTGGGTTAGGCAATACCCTGCCATGGAGTTATTTCTAGTTTTTCTTTGTTGCAAAAAAAAAAAAAAAAAAAAGTCATTATTAATATCTGTGGTGTACCACAATTTTTAAAAACTAATTCCCAATTGACAGATATATGGAGGTTTCTAGTATTTTTTTTTTTAAAGATTTTATTTATTTATTTGAGAGAGAGAATGAGAGACAGAGAGCATGAGAGGGAAGAGGGTCAGAGGGAGAAGCAGACTCCCCGCCGAGTAGGGAGCCCGATGCGGGACTCGATCCAGGGACTCCAGGATCATGACCTGAGCCGAAGGCAGTCGCTTAACCAACAGAGCCACCCAGGCGCCCTCTAGTATTTTTTTTTTAAAGATTTTATTTATTTATTCATGAGAGACAGAGAGAGAGAGGCAGAGGGAGAAGCAGGCTCCCAAGGAGCAGAGAGCCCAATGCGGGACTCGATCCCAGGACCCTGGGATCATGACCTGAGCCGAAGGCAGACGCTTAACCATCTGAGCCACCCAGGCGCCCTGAGGTTTCTAGTATTTGTTGGCATCTCGTATGTAAAGTTTTTTTTTTTCTTACCCGTGCAAGATTTTTTCCAGGGTGGATCTGGAGAAGCAAGATTACAAGGTTAACTGCTATCAGCCTCTTTTAAATTCTCCTGGATCGCACAGCATGGCAGGATGATCTGCACCAGCGGGCCACCAGTTTGTACCTTTCTCCCTTCTCTCCCAGGTGGGTTTCATCGACTATATTGTACACCCGCTGTGGGAGACGTGGGCTGACCTGGTCCACCCAGATGCGCAGGAGATCCTGGACACGTTGGAGGACAACCGGGACTGGTACTACAGTGCCATCCGGCAGAGCCCTTCACCACCGCCTGAGGAGGACCCCAGAGGGCCAGGCCACCCACCCCCACCGGATAAGTTCCAGTTTGAGCTGACGCTGGAGGAAGAGGAGGAGGAGGAGGTGTCTACTTCCCTAGGTGCATTTGAAGTGCGGGACTTGTCCCTGGCTCAGGATCCATCCCCAGCTGAGGAACTATGGGAGGTGGATGGCCAGGCTATGGCCGCAGAGGTGAAGGTAAAGGAACCGTGCTTCACACAGCAAGGCGACTCAGCAGATAGTGTGGCTGCGGGCGAGGACGAGTCCATGTCCCCAGATGCATCCGTGGAAGCTGGGGGCCGCAGCAGACCCCTGGCCCTGTCTGCTGAGAGTCCCCCTCTGCCTGCCTTGAGGACCCTGCCCCCTCCAGAGGAAGCCCCGGGCCTCCTGGGCCTCCCCTCCATGGCGGCCGAGGTGGGGGCCCAAAAAGAGCATCAGGCTGCCAAGAGGGCGTGCAGTGCCTGCACAGGAACATCTGGCGAGGACCCCCCCCCACTCCCAGCTCCTGGTGGGTGGGGGTCGGCTGGAGGTCCTACCTGAGCCCTGGCTCCTCCACCCTGTTGCTCTCCCCGCCTCCCTCCACCACCATCACCCCCCGACCACCTCCTCCACTGCCTCAAAGACTCTTGGGCCTCCTGAGAAAAAAGAAAACAGAAAAGTGGGGTTTTTTCTCTTTTCTTTTTTTCCTCTTTCCCCCCACCCCCACCCACGGGGCCTCTTTTTGGAGGTGGGGGCTGGGGAACAAGGGGCGGAGGTCCCGGAAGGGATTTTATTTTTGGAATTTTAATTGTTACATTTTTAGAAAAAGAAAAAAAAAAAAAAAAAACAGGATAAAACACAGCCACTGTAGACGCTCCTGTTCCGGACTAAACCCCTTGTGTCCCTCCCCAGCCGCCTCCCCCGCCCCAGGTCCCAGGCTCAGTCTTCCAGCCTCCTAGGGCTCCCCCCGTGGGCCCAAGCAGGCATCGCGCCTCCCTCCCTCCCTCCCTCCCTCCAGGCTTTCCCTCTGAATTTTGGAGGGTCTCTGGAACCTAACCAGGAATAGCCATTCTGGGCGGGGGCTCTGGGGGGCTGTCACCAGGGGAGGCCCCAGCTCCAGCCCCTCTCTGGCTCACTGCCCACCACCCCCACCCCCAGAAGTCTTCCGCCTCATTTTGCACAAACCTGGCAATACTAACTTGGGGGACAGGGACAGGGACGGGGACAGGGGAGCTGTGCGCTTTCAGATGTAGCAGAGGGAAGGTGTTGGAGGGATATTCACACCACTAACCTGGGGTCTGAGGTTCGAGGAGGGCCTGATCCCCCCTCCGCTTGCCATCCCCTTGCCCTTCCACTTTGGGTTCTGTTTGAATTTTCTCCATTTAGGGGGGAGATGGCTCTGAACCACACCCCTCCTTCCAGCTGCTTCTCCTCTTGTTTCTGCCTTAATGATCCCCACGGCCATAGGAGAGGGGTTTGCAGTGGTTCCCACCTGCACCTTGGGTGGGGTGGGACCAGGCCCAGAGCCCCCATCCTGGGCACCTCCCCCGCCCCAGCATCCTCCTGACCCCCTTCATGACCCTTTGCCCTAGGAGGAAGCAATAACAGTGTACTCCCACACCCCCTTTCTGGGCAGCCCTTTCCCACCCTGGCACCAACCAAAGTCATTTCTCCTTTGCCCCCACTTGGCCACGCCTCCCCTTCACCCCTTAGCTATTCCTGGAGCAATACGACAGACAGATGCAAGGCCCTTTTTCTCCAAGCCATGGGGGACTGTTTGGAAGGAAAGACCCCCCCCCCCTCCCGCTCCGTTATGCCCTTGGGCCCAGTTCTGCAGCTGGGCAAGGCAGGGCCTCTCTCTCATTCCCCCACCCCCAATTCTGAGCACACGGTACTGTAGCCCCCAGCTGCCCGCAGCCTTCCATCTGTCTGTCCATCCCTGTGGGGAGTACCTCCCACTCCCACCCTCATGATGCTGTACAGGGTTCATTTTTGTAGCGACATTAGTTTCTGTCCCAGCCAGTGACTGGAGTGGGACTTCTTTTTGGTTTTCTTTCTTTTCTTTCTTTCTCTCTCTCTCTTTTTTTTTTTTTTTTTTTTTGTACATATTGTATGGTTGGTTTGTAAATTATTCTACAGAGGCAAAAAGGGAAAATAAACTTGCCCTTCCCCAGCAGACCCAGTCAGGGGAAGGAGGGGTGGGGTCTCCCAGAGAGAGAGTCCCCATTCCCACTGTATTATACAAACTGTACCATAGACCCCGAAAGGGTGGATTCCGCGCTGCCGCTTGATGGGAAGTCGTGTCATTGTAAGGGGCGAGGGCTGAGCAGAGCCTACCCCTTCCCCCTTACCCAGGTGTGACTGGTGAGTTGGAACCCCACCCCCAATCAGGGCTCCTCTCCCAGGGGGGGCACAGGACCCCCCCTGAGCTGCTCTTGTGTTGTCCATTTCGACGATCAATCAGTCGGTCCGTTGGTCGATAATCAATCCTTCGATCTTGTCTCCAATTAAATCGAGGCTTTCACTGATCTTCCTGGCTTATTGACTTCCTTTCCCACCCTGTTCTTGGGAGGTCTACCTCTCCTGCACTATCTGCCTGGGGTGGGGGTAAGGGGAAAGGGATAGATAGAACCTGAAGGGGGGCAGCAGTGTGGCTGGAGGCAGCTGCCCCGCCCCGCCCTGCCCCGGGGCCTGGACCGGGCACTTGCTCAAGGACTCCAGGTTGTAAAGTGGAGGTTCAGACCAGTCTTTGGAGGCCAGCAGACCCAGGTAAAGCCCACTTCTCTTACACAGCATCTCTGACAGACCTCTTGGGTACTTCTGGAATCTCAGAGTCATTCCTGGAAACCTCGAGGGGGCCTGACTGATAACACCTCCACCATCTGGCTGCCAGGCTATGATAAAAGGTCTCTGGTCACATTCTGCTGTGCAGACATTAAACTTGATAAACAGGCACAAGGGCATTTATTTACCCCTATAAGTTCTATGAATTCCCAGGATCCTGGCCATTTTGGTGTTGCAACCTTCATGTTGCATTAAAAGAAAATGAAAAAACAAACCTGAACCTGAATATCTATATCTTTTTTTTTTTTTTAAGATTTTAAGTAATCTCTACAACCCAACGTGGAACTTGAACTCACGGCCCTTTGATCAAGAGTAGCATGCTCTATTGACTGAGCCAGACAGATGCCCCCAAACCTGAATCATATCTTAAAGGCAGGGCTCTCTGTTGCTTTGAGCCTGTAGCCTTATGGTCGGTATCACGCGAGCTAAACCATCCAAATTCACACAAGACTGGCTTGGGATTGAAGCTGTTTCGTTAACGTGTTCATTCGAGGTTGGGGAGGGAACGACTCAGATGTTTTAACCAATCCACATATTTGAATACTGTTAATTCCACTCAAGGGATCCCATTTTCTCCACCTTTATCAGGGTAATTAACAAACCCTTGATTTCACCAATGTTTCTGATATTCATTATGCTGACGAGCAAAACTTCCCACGTTGATAAAGATATGGATAACAAGTGTTTGTGATTCGAGCTTTTGGTTTAGAATACTGGCAGCCTCTGGGGTGTAATAAATTGAGATACACACACACTCAAAGCTGTGCTTAAGTGGTTAAACGCAGTGGGATCAATAGATGTATATATTCACAACGTGTGTGTTTTGAAATAAAATGAGGGCAGCTTCCTTGGATCTAAGGAAAGGTTGACCTGCCTACTCTGCTCTATTCATGTCCTTATCAGTAGTTTAGATCCCAGCTCCTGCTGTGTGACCTTGGGCGTGATCTCTCTGACCTTCAGTTGTCTCATCTGTAAAATGAGGATAACAAAAATCCCAGTCAGTCTAGGGCGGGACTGACCAGTGAAACCTTCTACAACGGGTAATGCTCTGTCTGTGCTTATCCAACATGGTAGCCTCTAGCCCACATGTGGCTGTGAAGCACTTGAGATGTGGTGAGTGCCACTGAGGAGCTGGAGTTTTCCTTTTCCTTTCCATTAAGTAGCCACATGCAACCAATGGCTACCATCTGAGAATACAGTTCTGGAACTTGAGAGGCTGAATGTATAGGATTTAGCGTGTACAAAGGTTTGCCTGTTTCACTGTGGTTTTGAAGATTTACAGTATGTAGATATCCTGGCCCAGAAGAGTGGGGGCCAGCCTGGACCCAGAGAGGGGGAAAAAAAAAAGCTGGAAAACTAGGTAGAAGTTTCCAGGGAATCTGAACTTTGTGCAAGAAGTAAAGAGGAGACACAGACGTTTTCCCAAGGGTGTTTCAAAGGGAGGCAGAGTCGGGGAAAGGGTGTCGGGCTGAGGGTCAGGAGGCGACAGCACCAACCCCAGGCTGCAGGGGAAGGCTGATAAGACTTCTTGCTCTGGACCTCAGTTTCCCCAAGTGTAGGCATGATGTCCCAGATGTCCCAGATGCCTCCTCTGTTGGGACACTGTGACAATCTGAGAATGTGGGTCAAAGGACAGAGGTGGGCATGTGACCATCAGCTGGCTCTTTAAAATCCTCGTGATGGGGAGTTCATCCTTCCTCAGGCAAAGGTGACCAAGGGCAACGGGGCACAGCAGCAGGGCCTTACAATCTGAATAGGACAGGGAGACCTGGGGAAGGGGTGGAGGTGGTTTACGTTGTAGCTGACATCAGCCACTTGCAAACAAGCAGTGTGGCCTGGGACAAAAGGCTCTGGCTCTTCCAGCCTTTCGCGGGCTGTGCCCTGTGCTAAACTCATTAGGTGGATTATCTTATTGGCTCTCCAGCAGTCCTTGAGATATATACCATTATAAGAAACTGAGGCCAGGTTCTAACCCTGTCGAGAAAAGGCAGAGACCTCATTTCACCTACTGTCTGTCCCACACTGATAGCTACTAGATAACTACCTGATACTTTCATTATTATTGCTCCCCCTTTTTTCAGCCCTACACCCAACATGGGGCTTGAACTCAAGACCCCGAGATCAAGTGTCACATGCTCCACCGACTGAGCCAGCCAGTATATTATATTATATATTATAATATATTATATAAATATTATATATAATATATATTTATGTTATGTTATTTTATTTATTTATTTTTAAGATTTTATTTATTTATTTGACAGAGAGAGCAAGAGAGCACAAGCTGGGGGAACAGTAGGAGGGTGAGGGAGAAGCAGGCTCCCTGCCAAGCAGGGAGCCCGATGCGGGGCTCGATCCCAGGACCCTGGGACCATGACCTGAGCCAATGGCAGACGCTTAACCATCTGAGCCACCCAGCCGCCCCTAAATATATATATATATTTTAAAGATTTTATTTATTTATTTGTCAGAGAGAGAGAGCGGCAGACAGAGGGAGAAGCAGGCACCCTGCTGAGCAAGAAGCCTGATGTGGGGCTCGATCCCAGGACCCTGGAATCATGACCTGAGCCAAAGGCAGATGCTTAACCGACTGAGCCACCCAGGTGTCCCTATATATATATATTTTTAATCAACTGGCAAATAATGAAGAGATGGACCATCCTTGGGTAGGCAAAGAACTTTCATAGCTTGTTAGTGTTGGTGGAAGTTGGCACATACAGCTTTCCAAGACTGGTCTGACGATAGTTATCAAAAATAGAACTGCATGCGGCGCCTGGGTGGCTCAGTCGTTAAGCGTCTGCATTCGGCTCAGGTCATGATCCCAGGGTCCTGGGATCGAGTCCCACGTCGGGCTCCCTGCTTGGCAGGAAGCCTGCTTCTCCCTCTCCCGCTCCCCCTGCTTGTGTTCCTGCTCTTGCTATGTCTCTGTCTGTCAAATAAATAAATAAAATCTTAAAAAAAAAAAAATAGAACTGCATGGGGGTGCCTAGGTGGCTCAGTCAGTTAAATGTCTGCCTTTAACACTCCCTGCTCAGCGAGGAGCCTGCTTCTCCCTCTCCCTCTACCCTGCCCCTGCTTGTGCTCTCTCTCTCTCTCTCAAATAAATAAAATCTTTTTAAAAATCAGGGGCGCCTGGGTGGCTCAGATGGTTAAGCATCTGCCTTTGGCTCAGGTCATGATCCCAGGGTCCTGGGATCAAGCCCCACATCCGGCTCCTGGCTCAGCGAGGAGCCTGCTTGTCCCTCTCCCTCTGCCTGTCTCCCCTCTCTATCTCTGTGTCTCAAGTGAATAAATAAAATCTTTTTAAAAAAATTTAAAAAATATATAACTGCATGCATTTTGACCCACCCATTGCAGTTTTTAAAATGTTTATCCAAAAGAAACAGTTGGATAAAAACCTAAAGGTGAAGGCACAAAATGCCCATTCTAGTATTGGTCAGAATAGTGAAGACCTATGAAAAATGTCCAACATTAGGGACGCGTGGGTGGCGCCGTAGGTTGAGCGGCTGCCTTCCGCTGGGGTCACGATCCCGGAGAGTCTGCTTCTCCCTCTCCCTCTGCGCCTCCCGCTGCTCGTGCTCTCGCGCTCTCTCTCTCAAATAATAAATAAAAAAATATTTTAAGAAATATTAACAATGTCTCCAGTGGTAGGATTAAGAGAGAGATGTATTTTCTGTTCTGTAGTCTTTGATATGTTCTGACCTTTAGCAGTGAGCAGGTATTAATTTTATAATCAAGGGCAAAGTTATTTTATCATCAGGGTAAAGAAATACGCGGCATTTGTTATCTGGGAGGCACAAAAGCATGGTAGATAAGCACACAGACTCTGGATTCAACTTGCCTGGATTCTAGCTCCCACGTCTCCAGTTAATGACTGGGTTCGTGGGAGCAGGTTATTTACTTGTTCTGTGCCTCAGTTTCCCTCGCTGTAAAATGCAAATAATAACGGCCCAGGTTACTGTGTGCCAGACGCTGTTTGTCTTACGTAAATTATTGCACTGAATTTTCACAGCAGCCTTATAAAGTAGGTTCTACTATAAATGGGTCACAGGCGGGGAGGAAGGCGGGACTGGGAACTCCAGCCCCCAAGCGCCTCCCAGAGCGGAGCTAGGGAATTGCAGCAGGTTCAGAAATGCACGCACGCGCAGACCGAGTGGAAGGCGTGGCGAGAACGCGCGGGAGATTTCCCCCTGCACTACGATTGGCTGTCGTGGTTGTCATTAGCCGAGAAGGCCGCCAATGAGGGGCGCGGCCGCTTCGTCTTGGGAACCCGAGGGCAGAGGGAGCTGAGGCTGTCCCGCTGCTGCAGGGGCGCGAACCTCAAGGCGGGTGAGGGGACCTGGCGTCACTCCCTGAGAGTGACCCCAGCGTCGTTCCCACTCGTTAAGGGGACCCCAGCGTCAGCCTCCTTTCCTGAGAGTTCCCTGGCGTCATTGCCCCCTTTTTTCCCGAGACGTCTACCCTTTTTCCCAAGAGGGACCCCTGAGATGTTCCCTCTTCCTGAGGAGGACCCCAGCGTCCTCTGTCCTTCTAGAGGTGAACCCTAGCCTTGTCCCGTCTTCCTGAGAGGGACGCCAGAGCCATTCATACTTCCTTGGGTGGACCCCGGCTTCATCAGCCCTTCCTAAGGGGACCCGGGTGTCAGTGTGTGTTGGGGGGGGGAACACCAGCTGACACAGGAACTCACAGTGTCACCTGAGAAATTGTTTAAGGAACTGGGGCTGTTTCTCCTAAAATGGGAGCCGAGCGAAAGATCTAAAGCTGCCTTAAAATATCTTTCAAGGGGCACCTGGGTGGCTCAGTCGTTAAGCATCTGCCTTCGGCTCAGGTCATGATCCCAGAGTCCTGGGATCGAGCCCCACATCAAGCCCCGCATTGAGCCCCACTTTGGGCTCCCTGCTCGGCGGGAGGCCTGCTTCTCCCTCTCCCACTCCCCCTGCTTGTGTTCCCTCTCTCGCTGTGTCTCTCTCTCTCTGTCAAATAAATAAATAAAATCTTAAAAATATATATATATATCTTTCAAGTGCTTCACACGGTCCCTGACATGGTCAGCAGGTCCTTATTGAGTGATTGGGTATGTCTACGACTGACCCCTGGAAGAGGGATTACTTTGGTCCATGAAGTCCCAAGAGATCTGATGGTAAGGGTTGGAGGGAGGTCGAAAGGGCTTCCCAGTGTTGAACTGAAATCCTAAAAGGCTGAGCACAGAGCTGGCAAAATCCGCAGCCTGGAAGACCTTGAAGGCCAGTTGCATTCAATCCTGCAAAGATGCATCGTCCGTCCACTGTGATCACGAATTGTCTCGTCCATATTCAAATATGTGTGACGTTCCTGTTGTATGTGTCAAATGGTGAACAAGACAGAAGAATAGAAGAATAATTCTGAATACGAGGCCCACAAATACAGTGCTCATGACTTCTGCAAGTGACGCCACTTCTTCCTCATTGTTCATTAGGGAACGATCAGTCTGTCTCCCGCCTGGTTGACTACAAGTGCAGGAGGGCAGAAACTGCTCCTAGCTGTCACTACCCAGTGCCTGGGACGTAGTCCATGCCCCAACGCTTCACTTGGTGAATCCTTAGTGGAACTGAGAGATGACCAGGGAGGGTGAAGTATGATGAGTAAGGGGAAGACACGCAGTAGAGAAGAAAGAGATGCACCTGCCGTAGCTGGGATTTAAACACCAACTCCTTGGCTGACGCAATTCATCTTTCCTGACCCTGAGGCTAAGAGCAAGTGAAGGCAAAGAGGCAGCTGAAGTCAGCAGCTCGGTTTAAAATTTCCCACCAAGAATGCAAGCTGGTGCAGCCACTCTGGAAAACAGTATGGAGGTTCCTCAAAAAGTTGAAAATAGAGCTACCATATGATCCAGCAATTGCACTACTGGGTATTTACCCCAAAGATACAAAGTAGGGATCCGAAAGGGTACGTGCACCCCGATGTTTACAGCAGCAATGTCCACAATAGCCAAACTGTGGAAAGAGCCAAGATGTCCATCGACAGATGAATGGATAAAGAAGATGTGGTATATATATATCAGTGGAATATTATGCAGCCATCAAAAGGAATGAGATCTTGCCATTTGCAACGGCGTGGATGGAACTGGAGGGTATTATGTTGAGCGAAATAAGTCAAACAGAGAAAGACATGTATCATATGACCTCACTGATATGAGGAATTCTTAATCTCAGGAAACCAACTGAGGGTTGCTGGAGTGGGGGGTGGGGTGGGAGGGATGGGGTGACTGGGTGATAGACACTGGGGAGGGTATGTGCTCTGGTAAGTGCTGTGAATTGTGCAAGACTGTTGAATCTCAGATCTGTACCTCTGAAACAAATAATGCAATATATGTTAAGAAAAAAAAAAAGAAGAAGAAGGTAGCAGGAGGGGAAGAATGAAGGGGGGGAATCAGAGGGGTAGACGAACCATGAGAGATGATGGACTCTGAAAAACAAACTGAGGGTTCTAGAGGGGAGGGGGGTGGGAGGATGGGTTAGCCTGGTGATGGGTATTAAAGAGGGCACGTTCTGCATGGAGCACTGGGTGTTATGCACAAACAATGAATCATGGAACACTACATCTAAAACTAATGATGTAATGTATGGGCATTAACATAAGAATAAAAAAATAAAAAATAAATAAAATAAAATAAAATTTCCCACCAAAGTGGTCTAGAGCAGCTGATTTGATCCGGGCAGACCCTGGGACATGTAGTCTGAAAAATGTTCCTGAGTGCGCTGTTTAACATGTGGCTTAAGAAAATCAAAGCTATGACCCTGAGGTGTGGATGTGGTGCTGGGGCTCATGGAAGGGAGAGCTCTTTAAATAGGGGGAAGCAGGTGCCTGGGTGGCTTAGTTGGTTAAGCGACTGCCTTCGGCTCAGGTCATGATCCTGGAGTCCCGGGATCGAGTCCCGCATCGGGCTCCCTCCCTGCTCGGCGGGGAGTCTGCTTCTCCCTCTGACCCTCCTCCCTCTCATGCTCTCTGTCTTTCATTCTCTCTGTCTCAAATAAATAAATAAAATCTTTAATAAATAAATAAATAAATAAATAGGGGGAAGCTTCCTGATGCATTTGCAGTTGTTTCATTTACTACAAATATAATTTACCCAGAAGTTCTGAAGAATGCTAATTTAAAAAAAAAAAAAAAAGGAACAAGCCAAGGTCAGGTAATTTTGCACCCTGGGCTCCTCCAACCTTGTTCCTTTTCTAGCTCTCCTTCTCTGGCAACAGTTCCTCTTTTTGCCTAGAAGCCCACAAGAGGGTGCTGCGTCCCTTTTAGACCACACCTCCTGTATCGTCCCAGAGAGCCAGGCGGAGCTACAAAATCTTCACAAAATAAGGCAGCTGGGTTGGTGGAAGCTCTGATTTTTCACAGGGTACGAGAGCCAGTGAGGAATTTTTTTTTTTTTTTTTTTTTTTTAAAGATTTTATTTATTTGAGAGAGAGAGAATGAGAGACAGAGAGCATGAGAGGGAGGAGGGTCAGAGGGAGAAGCAGACTCCCCGCCGAGCAGGGAGCCCGATGTGGGACTCGATCCCGGGACTCCGGGATCATGACCTGAGCCGAAGGCAGTCGCTTAACCAACTGAGCCACCCAGGCGCCCCGCCAGTGAGGAATTTTAAGTAGCACAGGTAAAGTGGTCTGAGGTCACTAAATGTTCTACCATTATCTTGCTAACCTTAACAACCTTGATAGTCCCGATTAATGTTAGCACATCAGGTTTCCAGTACTTAAACCTCATTCCTACCAGTAAGACTACATTTATTGTATCTTACTGCGTGCCAGCTGCTAGGGTAGTTATTATCCCCATTTTACAGATGAGGAAAGCCAGGCACAGAGAGGCTTTGCACCAAGTTTGAGTGCCAGATATGGGTCTCAAGCCTAGTCTGTTGATTCCAGTGTATTCTTCCCCTCCCCCCGCCCCTTAAGTTCTATCTTCCACAAAATTTAGTTCCACTAACATTTATATTTTAAAACCAGAATGCAGGGCGCCTGGGTGGCTCAGTTGGTTAAGTGACTGCCTTCGGCTCAGGTCATGATCCTGGAGTCCCGGGATCGAGTCCCGCATCGGGCTCCCTGCTCAGCAGGGAGTCTGCTTCTCCCTCTGACCCTCCTCCCTCTCATGCTCTCTCTCTCAAATAAAAAAAATAATAATAATAAAATAAATAAATAAATAAAACCAGAATGCACACTCAAGGGAGAAGATATTCATTGAATTGACAGCATGTTGTATTGCACAAAGCAAGGGACTCTAGCGTCCAGAACTACAGGGCCCTTCACAGAGCTAAAGGTTACCTTAGACACTGTCCACTTGATTGAGAGTGGGAAGTTATTTGCTTACCATCACTATGAATCCAACCTCTTTTACCTCATCGTTGATAATCTTTCTATACTGAAACTTCCCCTCGGCTTATAAACATGCTCTGTTTTCTGAATCTCAAAAACAAAACCCCAAACCCTCCCTGAATTCTTTGTTCCTCTCTAGCTTTCAGCCAGTCTTTTTCTGCCTCTTCTCATCCAAATGCCTCAGAAGAGATATTCTCTTCCTCAGTTTCCTTCACTGATTCAGTGTTGTCTTCTCAGCAACAGTACCTGTTCCAAGGAAGCACTCCATAAATATTTACTGAAGGGATCTGTTGCTTTACCCTCACAAGTCTCCTGAAATGGTTCTCAGTAAGATTACTTTCCAGTCACCAAATCCAGTGGGCATTTGAAGGGGTCTATCTTTCTGAAGCTCTTTGCACTTCATAGCATTGTTCCTTAAAATTTTTGTGCTCGACTTTTTCCTCCACTTAGCCTCTGTGACACTATCCTTTTCTTAGTTTTCCTCATGCTTTTCTGCTGCTGTTGTTTGTTGGGGCTTCTCTTCCATTTATTCCTTAAGTGTTTCTCAGAATGTGCTTCTAACCCACTGTTCTTGTTCTATTTATGTCTTGCCGTGTGGTCCCTGGACAAGCAGCATCAGCGTCAACTGGGAATGTTAGAAATGCAATTTCTTGAGACCCACCTATTGAATGAGAGACTTCTGGAAAATTCAACACCCATTTATGATTTAAACAACAACGACATGTAGCAAACTAGGTATAGAGGGGAGCTTCCTGAACTTGAAAAAAGTTCCAGCAAAACTTAAGGTGTAAGTTACAGAAAATCGTTTGGCAAACATCAGATTTAATGGTGGCACATTAGAAGCACTCACCTTATTATTAGGAATAAGACAACTATTCCCCACCAGTCCCACAACTAACTAACATTTCAAAGGTCTTAGCTAATTGTAAGGCAAGAAATGAATGGCATAACTATTGGAAAAGATGACATTCCACTATTCTTACTTGCAGACAATTTAACTATCTGCTTAAAAAAAAAAAAAAAACTAGAAAACTAGAAAGAGGCTGGTGGAAGATCAAGATATCTAAATCAACAAATTTCCCATATACCAGAAATACCAATTTTATTTTTTTTTTTTCAGAAACAACAATTGTAAAGGATCAAGGAGTAAAGATCTCATTGACAACAGCAACCAGGCCCATAAAACTCCCATTAATAAACCCTTCGCAAGCCCTTTGTGGAGAAATTATAAAGCCTTCCTGAGGACAGCAAAGAAGACTTCACTAAACAGATACACTAAGTTCATGAACGGAGAGGCCTAATGTAAAAATATTATTCCACCCCAACTCGATAATTTTAATGCAACCCAATTAAAATATTTATTTTTCATGGAATTTCATCCATGGAGCAAAGAATAAATATGCAGTAACAGAACAGCTCAGGGTTGTTGTTGTTGTTGTTGTTTTTAATAGAAAGAAAAAGGGAGAAGGGACTTATTCTGATATTAAGACATGTTAAAACTTTAGTAATTAAAATGATGAAATTGATGCAAAAATGGATATTTAGGTAAAACTGTAGAAAGTCAATATAACGGAATAGAGGTCCCATACAAACATGAGAAATTTGCATATGATTGGGATAGCATTTAAGAACTATGGGTAAAGAATTAATGAGTCAAGAAATGGTTTGAAAAACAAATGGTTGAGCAATAGCTATCCATACAAAATTAAATTCCCATTTGATAGTATACATACCAGCAACTTCCTGTTGGATTTAAAAATAGTACAAAAACAAACAATAATATCCGAAGGAAAAACAGTACAAAAATTTCTTGATATCTCTGTTAGTCAGGATTCTTGGTTTTAACAGAACCAGCAAAAACCGAGTCTGGTTAACTTAGGCAGAAACAAATGTACGGGCAGGAGATGACAACTTAACAAATGGGTAGGAAGCCACGGAAAATGGCAAGAACCAAAAGTCCTTCTTAAATATGACACAGAAGAGAAAAAACATCAAGGGAGAGTGATCAATTTGTGTGAAATTTAAAAAGAACTTCTAGAAGCAGAAAGAACATGGTTTGTTACAACCACTTTGGAGGGCAATCTGGCAGCATCTAAGGAAAGCTGTGCTTACCCTAAGATCTAGTAAGTTCCACCTCTTAGTATCGCCCTGGAGAAATATACATATTTGTGCCTGAGGAGACATGGTTAAGAGTAGACATTTCAGCCTTATCTGTAATTTTGAAAAATGAAAAGACCTAAATGTCTGTCGGTACTAGAAGAGATAAAACAGAACATAGGGAGGCGCCTGGGTGGCTCAGATGGTTAAGTGTCTGCCTTCGGCTCAAGGTCATGATCCCGGGGTCCTGGGATCGAGCCCCACATCGGGTTCCTGGCTCAGCGGGGAGCCTGCTTCTCCCTCTCCCTCTGCCTCTCTCCCTGCTTATGCTCTCTCTCTCTATCTCTGTGTCTCAAATGAATAAATAAAATATTAAAAAAAAGAAACAAAAAAAAACAGAACATAGGTACCTGGCAAAAGGAATGTGATGTCACAGACAAAAAGATCTAGAAGTCTGAGGGGGGAAAGCAAGTTGCAGAATAATACAGGCAACATTATGCCTTTTTTGTGAGGAAATACATAGAACATTACTGCAGTTTGTTTTAAATTGAGAGGGGACTGGAATGGAAAGATAGTAAGATTTCAGCTTTATCTATAATGTTCTCTTTTTTTTAAGGTAATACTTAGGTATTTAAGAATTAAATTGAAATGAGCATGGCCCACAGGGCCTCTTCTGACACCATGTTCCTCCTCCCTCTCAGAGTTCATCTAGGTTGCTTCCTGGTGCCACAGGACCTTTGCATGTGATGCTTCTTCTGTCCCGAAGCTTGCCCTTCCTTTCCTCACTAAGTTTACACTATCAGTTCCTTTGGATTTCTGTGAGAAAACCACCTCCTCAACAATGCTGTCTCAGGACCTCTGACCTAGGTCAAGCTCCTGGCCTTCAGAGGGCTTACCTTTGAACCTAATTACATAGGCATTTTTGTGATCATTAATTCTAGCTCTCTGAGAGAGACGGTGTCATGCCTGTTTCTCACTGTGTCTGAACACCTCACTTCCGGTCTGGTAGAACAGCCATTCGAGAACTACCTGTTGGAAGCATTAAAGCCTGAAGGCGAGCAAAATGACTGTGCACTCTCCTAAAACAACTGTATCCTGAGGCCTCAAATCCGACACACCCCAAAACATTGCCACTTCCCTTCTATCCCTGCAGCCTCCTCAAAGCTTCTCTACCCCTGGCTGGGATTAAGGTTGAAGCTACAGAGGAGCATTCCTAATTCTCCGCCCTTCTTATCTCATCAGTCCCCTCAGCTGTAGATTCAACCGCTCTCTACTCCCACAGCCTAATCCAAACTGCCAACCTCTCACCTGGCTAACGCAATAGCTGCTTCGCTCTCCCCAGTGCACTCCGCTCTGCAGCCAAGCCATCAACTTCCAAATGGGAACCTAACCACCACCCTCAGCTGCCTGTCACTCAGCACGGTTGTAATATTGCTTCAGCATCTGGCTTACCTGTAGAGTTGCCCCGGTTTACCCGAGGGGCTGAGGGGCTTGGGGATGCCAGCCTTCCAGTGTTCAATCTGGGACTGTCCTGGGCAAACCAGGACGAGTTGGTCACACTACTCCTCTGCTAGGCTGTAATTCCATGAGGGCCGGGATCATCTGGGGCCTGTTCACTACCCTAGCCCCGATACCTAGCACAGTGAGGTCTTTTTATAAACAGCTGTCTTTGCAGAATTAGAAAGTGAATGTAAATACTCACCTTTGTTGGTCCAGCAGCTTACACAGGGCCTAAGGCCCAGCCGGTGTCCAAGTACCATTTTTGCAGGTAAGAAACTGTTCACCTTGCTTTACTGAATCAGCTGAAACCTGACCTCAAGACCAGGGTTCCAGCCCTTGTAGAAGGAAACCCCACTCTGGGATAGGCTGTGTGGCTTATGGCAACGGATTTACGTGCAAATTCCTCTTGACTCTAGATTAGATCGCTGTTTCTGGAACTTTCACTGATACACACACTGACCCCACGGGACCTCTTTATGTCCTTCTCACACACGGTGTTAGAACGAGTTGTAGCTGCTTTGGTGTCCACTTGAGTCGAATCTAAACCCTACCATTTAGTGGCCACATGACCTTAGGTAAGTCACTTCTCTGAACCTCTAATCTGTAAAGAATTCGGGCTGGCCCTTCCTGGCTCACAGCACTCTTGAGGATCAAATAATGTGCAAAAACACTGCAAATGCTAAAAGGCTATCCAGATACTATGTTTACAATTCCTAGTCCTCCCCCATCCATTCAATGCAGCCAATGCAGATTTCTTTCCTTGTTCCAATAAAACCTTAGGAAGAGGACCAAGGAAGCGGTGCAACTAAGAAAACCTTCAGGTGAATTGAGTGAATGAAGCTACAGAGCTGAGAGGTAAGGGAAGGAATCAAATGTTTCCTCACTAAGCTCCCTGGGAGAACCTAGGACATTCCTGATAGTTGAGACCTCTTCGCTCCACTCTCCCAATACAAATAGTTAATTGGCGGGGCACCTGGGTGGCTGTCATTAAGCGTCTGCCTTCGGCTCAGGTCATGATCCCAGGGTCCTGGGATCGAGCCCCACATCGGGCTCCCTGCTCGGCGGGAAGCCTGCTTCTCCCTCTCCCATTCACCTGCTTGTGTTCCCTCTCTCGCTGTCTCTCTGTCAAATAAATAAATAAAATCTTAAAAAAACCCACAAATAGTTAATTGGCTTAAGAAGAGATCCAGGCCGTATGTTGCCTTCACACGAACTGTTCAGAAGAGACCAGGTTATATTGAGCCCTTTGCCTAAGAAAATTCCCAAGAACCCCTTTTGTCCTAAATAAAAGGCTCAGTCTGTGTTATTGAAGCGCATACAAATGACTGGATAGATTTTCACCGATTTGGAAGGCATGTTGGGGATGGTTTGCCTTAAAATAGAACTCCAGGGAGCCCTAGAAGAGAGGTGTCAAGGAGTTAGGTCATTGTCTTCAAAGCAGCCCAGTGTGACAAAGTGAGCCCTGTGTGGCTTGCCTCCGGGGAGAAAGAGGCCCTACATGTCAAGATGCGATGGGCAGAGATAACGACCTGGTTTCAAATTCAAACTCAAAATCAAAGACTTGAGTATGTTTTGGAAGAGTCCTTTCTGTCCCCGGGTTCGAGACCTCCAGCTGAGAGCCCGGGAGTGAAGACGCTAGTTAGTTTGTTCTTTATTTTCATTGGAACGTTATATGGTTACTTATCAACAAAATGACTGTCCAGGGCAGAGATATCCAGGGGTTTCTGTGTACACGCCCATCCCTGGGGTCCGCACCTCCACAGGAACCTCACCCGTGAGGCCTCAGCTGGCTCCTTCCCAGGCCTCCAGGAACCAACCACAAAGACACAAGAAACAAAAACCCGGCCCAACCTAAGCACCTGCTTTCACCGCAAAGGGAGGTGGCGGCGGCTGGTGTGGGACCCAGGCCTATTCTCAGGGTAGTGGGTGCAGGGGCCTCTCTTCCTGGGAGCCTGCCCTTCATGCACCCCCCCCTCCCAGGGAGGCTCTCTTGGACACTCCTGGGACGACTCTGACAGGCTCATGGGTTCCCGCTCTGGCCTTCTTTTCTTTCTAGCTGTCATTTGAACACTGAGGCATCTCAGCCTCCCATCTTGGAGGATAAGCATTTGCTCTGTCGCCTTTTCTTTTTGTCCCTGTTTTTGTACAAAAACAACCATACTCTCGATCAGACCATTTTTTTGCCCAAGAGACTCAAGCGGCTCAACAGGTACAGTTCTGCTGGTCAATCTGCTTCCGGCAGGGCTCCATGGTGACAGCAACACCCACCCCGCTCCGGCCCGATGTCATGTGGGTCACCTCACTCCAGGTGTCTGTGTCTGGGTCGTAACACTCCACACTGTCCAGGAACGTGTGGCCATCATAGCCTCCTGCCGGGAGAGCAGAGGAGACAGTCACCCCCTCTGAGGGGAAAGAAAGAGGGAGAAGGAACCCCAAGGAGCCTTCCTCCTGGGATTTGAGCCCGCCCCCCAAAGATGGGGTTAATCTGTCTTCTCCACCCAGGCCCCTGCCCCCAGGGCCTCACCGAGAACGTAGATCCTTCCCTGGTGCACAGTAATCCCCAGGGCACTTCGCCGATGCTTCATGGGAGCTACGAAACTCCACGTTTCTGTCTCCACGTCGTAGCGCTCCACGCTGTTGAGCTGGTCCTGACCATCGTAGCCTCCCGCAGCGTAGATACAGTTGTGTAAGACACAGACTCCTAAAGCATACCGTGCACAGAGTGACTCCAGGGCCTGGCTCTGGGGGCCCCAGGCCCCACCTCCCCTCGCCCCTCGCCCCTCTCCCAGGGCGTCCTTCAGAAACAAAGCCGGAAGACAAGAGCTCCCATCATCAGGATCTAGCTCTCCTGTGCGTGCCCCAGGGTTTAAGACTGGAACGGGAAGCCTCCCCCAGGTCTTGCCGAGTTTCAAGCCCAGGAGTGGGAGAGGGTTCCTCCACGCTCCCCTCCCGGCAGTCCCCACCCACCTGCCCCACTCCGGATGGTGTTCATGGGTGTGATCATCCGCCACTCATTTCTCTCTGGGTAGTAACACTCGGCCGAGTTGAGGCGGTTTGTTCCATCAAAGCCCCCGACGGCATAGAGCAGACGGTTGAGGACCGCCACTCCCACCCCGATCCTTCGAGTCAGCATTGGGGCCACCAAGTGCCACTCGTCCCGCTCTGGCTCATACCTGCAAGGGCATAAGAACGATGACAACAGCGATCACAGCTGACCTGTGTGGAACATTATAACCCGACATGCTGCTAGTTCCTTCTGCACTTGAACTCTTTACTCCTCATAGCTTTTCTCTGAGGAAACAGGTTCACAGCCATCATCTGCTCAAGGTCACCTGCACGTCTGCTGGACGCTGGTGGTAGCATGACCATACACCACCTGCCAGGCCCTGTACTGCGTGTTGTTAGCTCCCCAAAACCCCACTTAGCCGGTCGGGCAGGTGGTTATCATCTCCCACTTCCCCATCATCTTCAGACGACAAGACAGAAGCACAGAGGGAGAAAATGGCATGTCCCGGGTCACCAAGGAGGTGGGGCTAGGGGTATGACCCAGCCTTCTAGGACACCAGAATCCTAATTCTAACAACTAGGCTACCACCTACAATGGTTTTTTTCAAAGTGTGGTGTCTGTTTAAAATTCCCATTCCCCAGCCTCGCTCGCTCCAAACCCACCAATGCCGGATCTCCAGCAGTGGGCCAGGGAGTTTGTTTTAACAAGTTCTCCAGCTGAGAACTGTATCATGGATCACACTTCTGGAAGAGGAGAAAGCAGAGGACTGGCTGTGCAAAAGTTGGAAGTCCAAACTGTTCAGCCTCTAAACACAGGGTCACCATGCGGTTGTGTAGGTTGTGCACTGCACAAGGGGGCACCTTCCACATAGAAGACCTCAAACATCTGTTTATTATGGCAGTTTGGGGGCAGATGGCAGTGAGGTGTCATGTTGTAATAAAATTAGTGTTTTACAACAACTTCAAACTGATAGGACTCTTTCCAAATCTGCAGTTGTTATGGGTTTGTGACAGCCCTGTGAGCAATTCCCAGGCCCAGACAAATCCTCCAATGTCACTGACCATAAATCTCCCATGGATTTAGCTTCACCTGAGGCTTCCACTCCCTGAAGGCAGAGCACAGAGACAGGCACTCAACAACAGGGGGAATCCCCAAATCCCAATGGGTTCGGCCCTTGTTAGCAATGGGAACCTCAGAGCCCACCCCTCCGGGCCCTGCCACTCACCTCTCCACACTGTTGTGGTGGATGCAGCCATGGGAGCCACCAACGGCATAGATGTGCCCATCGATGACCCCAACCCCGATCCGATTGCGTGGTACGCTCATGGGGGCACAGGGCGACCACTGGTTGGTCATGGGGTTATAGCAGTCCAGCGCATTGGAGTCGGTGTTGCCGTCGGGCGAGTTGTTCCGGCCACCCACAGCATACAGCAGCCCGCCCACGACGCAGCCAGCCAGGCCACTGCGAGGGACCTGCAGGTCTGCCAGTCGGAGCCAGGTGCCATCACTGGGGTTGTAGGCCTCCAGGTAGCTGAGTGACTGGCGGAAGTAGCCACCAGCGGTGTAGATGAGCCAGCCGACTTTGGGCGCCCGACAGGGCATCACCTGCGTGGGCTTATGCAAGGTAAGCTCCTGGAAGATCTTGACCAGGTAGTCCTTGCAGCGGGAGTCCGACTGCAAGATCTCGCACTTCTGCAGCTGCATCTGCAGGAAGTGGGGCGTGAGGGAGTGGCAGCGCACCGCCCGCAGCAGCGCCTGCACATAGAAACGCCGCTGCTCACAGTCATACTTGACCCAGTTGATACAGGCGTGGAAGACCTCGGACTCGCAGCGCACGTTCAGATCGTCTCGGCTGATGAGCGTCACCAGCTGGCAATGGGACAGGTTGAAGAATTCCTCTTGCTTGGCCACCTGCGGAGGGCATTACTGTGACAGGCTGACTCCCCTCAACGGCGGTATGATCGCAGACAAGTCACTCAACCTGCCTCTGACAATCTCAGTTTCCTATTTTGTAAAACGGGGATTCAAATAGCATGAACTTCGTAGGTTGTGAAGGTTAAATGAGTTAATACTACATGCCAGGCATACAGTACCGTAAGTACTCAGGCAAATGGGCAAAGACACAATGTACTATGTACCTTTTTGTATCATTTTGTGCTTGAACTACAAGATTGTTACCTTTTTTTTAAACAAAATTACTTTTTCAAAAGGGTAGATTGACTAAAAAAGGAAAAAGTAATAGCCATAGAATATTCTAGAAAAGTGTAGGCTCGGGCGCCTGGGTGGCTCAGTTGGTTAAGCGACTGCCTTCGGCTCAGGTCATGATCCTGGAGTCCTGGGATCGAGTCCCGCATCGGGCTCCCTGTTTGGCAGGGAGCCTGCTTCTCCCTCTGACCCTCCCCCCTCTCATGTGCTCTCTGTCTCTCTCATTCTGTTTCAAATAAATAAATAAAATCTTTAAAAAAAAAAAGAAAAGTGTAGGCTCTAAAGAAAGAAGGCTGAGCTGCAACTTGGCCCACTACTTTCTAACTAGGTGATCTTGGGCAAATATCGGAAATGCTCCGTGCCTTGGTTTTCATCCTCTGTAAAAGAGGGATTATATTAGTAGCTACCTCATAGCTGGGCTACTCCTAGGGTATCCAGGGCCCCAGGCAAGTACTTCTTGTCAGGCACCAGTCTATATAAATAATTTCAGTCACCCGACATCAGCAGATCACCAACACTCTGGTACCCCAAGCCCACGCAATCCCTTTAAAGAAACACTGTGCAGGCCTGTGGAAAAGCCCTGCTCACAGACCACCTTGCTGGAAGCCATAGGCCCTCGGACTAATGCCAGCGCTCCTCATCTGGTCAACCCCACATGTGGGGTAGAGGGAAAGAGAACATCTACCCCTTAAGGAGAGAAATGGAAACCAGGGCGGTATCTACCTCAGCTGATCCCGGCCACTGGAGGAAGACTTTGAAAAGTTCCAGGAAGGCCCTCTAAAGCACGAGACTCCCTAAGGCGTGGGGCCTGGGGTACAGCCCTGTTGGGCCACACCTGAGGGTGGTACTTCCTCATAGGATAGTTGGGAAAATCCAATGATTTAAAGAATGGAAATCACTTAGAACAGGGGTTGGCCCACAGCAAGTGCTCAACAAACACTTATTATCATCATCATCCCAAGGGCACAACATCTAGTGACTGCCACCCAAGAATTTGGGCTCATCATTGTGATTTTACAAGGAATCTGTTATCTTCTGCTCACAACTTCCTCCACTTAAAAACGAAAATGAAACCAAGAACAGTGTAAGGACAACACTGCGCTGACCAGAGAAAACACGTCTAAGGGTCACAGTTGAGGGAGGCAGCATGTCATGGGTGTTTAATAAATATTTGCAGAGGGGCGCCTGGGTGGCTCAGTTGGTTAAGTGACTGCCTTCGGCTCAGGTCATGATCCTGGAGTCCCGGGATCGAGTCCCACATCGGGCTCCCTGCTCGGCGGGGAGCCTGCTTCTCCCTCTGACCTTCCCCCCTCTCATGTGCTCTCTGTCTCTCTCATTCTCTCTGTCTCAGATAAATAAATAAAATCTTTAAAAAAAAAAATTTTTAAATAAATAAATAAATAAATAAATAAATAAATAAATATTTGCAGACTGTCTGAAATATCGGGCCCTCCTTTAGCACACTCCAGGGTTGAGCTACTGTCCGTGTTCCCTGCACCCTTCCCTACCCTTGGCCCCAGAGAAGCCGGGGAGCCCGAGACAGACCCAGGAAGCTCTCACTTTCCTCAGCTGTTTCCCACAGTCACCCCAGATGTGTAGACTAGGACCTCAGAACCCCATTTTTCTCCAGCTCCCTGATCTGACCCTTCACATCTCCAGGGAAGACAGGGATGTCCAACCATCTGTCCCTGGTCCTTCTGATCCCGCCTCCACGCCCTGGCTCCATGTCTCCTCCCGTCACTCACCTCTCCGAAGTGCATATAGATGTATTCGCGGGCGCGCTGATGCAGCTCGGCACAGCCGATCTGTTCAGCGAAGTTGGCGATGCCAATGGCGTTGCTGGGGTCCAGCTGCTGCACGAGGAAGTCGCTGCAGGCGCGGACGACGCTGTCGATCTGGTACATGACGGCGCCATTCATCACGTGGAGCACACACTTCTCCCCCATGGAGATGGAGGCCGTGTAGGCAAACTCAATGAGGCGCTCCATGACCTTGGGGTGGATGCCCTCAATGGACACCACCTCCATGCCCTGCTCCCGCAGCCCATTGGTGAACATGGCCTTGAAGACGGGGCTAGATGAGGCCAGCACCACCTTGTGAGCCATGAACTGGGCGGCTGGCGCGTCCTCATATTTGACCTGCAGTGTGACATCACAGAGCTGCTGGCTGAGCCGCAGCTCGTTCATGATGCCAAAGGCCTGCTTGGTGTGGTCCTCCAGCGTGTAGCTGAAGGTGCGGTTGCCGTGCTGGGAGGGCGTCACCTCGGCTTTGCACTCGGTGGAGGCGTACATCACCGTGTCCCCTGCCCCCTCAGGGCGCTGTGACCTCAGGGGAAGGAATCGCGTGCGGGCCCCAGCCCCGCTAAGCCTGGGTTCCGGCTGCATGGGGTTCCAGGTGACAAGGGACAACACCACCACTGGCACTCAGAGGCCTGGAGGAGGGAGAGCACAGGGCTGGGGGCAGGGCCTGGGGGCAGGCATCCTCTTTTTTAAGATAAAGTGACTCCTAGACCAGTTTTCCTTCCCAAGCCCAGATGAAGCAATGTCCATTTGTGTTCACTAACTGCCACATGCCTCAGAGCCCAAGAGTCCATCTTAAAACACAGGTCGGGTGATGTCCCTCCCTTGCTCAGAATCCCCCTATGGCACAAAGAGTAAAACCAAACTCTGCAATGTCCTACTAAGCCGTACACAGTCAGCCTCTGTCCACCTCTTTCCTTTGCTCACTCTGTTCCAGCTAGCTGGTGGCCCTTCCCTTCCTAGATAGAGCATGTCTAGCTCATTCTTTCATTTACCTCACCAACATTTATTGAGTATCTACTGTGTGCCAGGCACTGTTCCAGGCACTGGAGACACAGCAGTGGAGAAAGGCAGACATAAACTGTGCCCCCCTGGAGATGACACTTGGGGAGAGATGGGCCATAAGTAAAATAAGCAAGACTTGAGTAGAAATTGCAGTTGTGAAGAAAGGGATAACAGCGTTGGGATAGTGTGACTTGGGGCAGTTAGTTTAAATCGGGTAGTCCAGGGCTCTGTTAGAGCTGACACAAGAAGGATGTACATGTGAAAGGGGTTTTCCAGGCAGAGGGAATGGCAAGTGCAAAGGCTCAGAGGACTGAGAGAATGAGAGAGACAATCTGGAGAATCAGGGAGGAGAATAATGAGAAATACTACTAAAGGGCAGGTTTCCATGAAACCTGTAGGGTCCGGAGGGCCAGGGCATGAGCTGTGTTTTGAAAGATCCGGCTGGGAGAAGAGGGGGATCTGCAAGAGGCTCCCCAGGTTGGCCATTTATCTTTCCCGGACTCAGAGCAGAGTCATCTCCTCCCTGTTCTATTTCCGCCACAGCACTTGTCAGAAACCGAAATGAGCTCCGTGGCTTGCGTGTTGAAGGATGGCCCATGCCTCTGGTCCTCAGCCCCAGGCTTACGAAGGCAGGGAGCCCCGTGTAGGTCAGGGCTGTGCCCACCCTCGCCTGTGCTCCCCCACGTCCTGCCTGGGGCCTAGCTCAGGGGTCAGTAAGCGAGTGGCTGGCTGGCTGGCTGCCCACTCCCCTGTGCCTGCCAGAGCACCCTCCTCCACCGGGCCCAGGGCGCCGCTTGGCCGCCTCTCCCCGGCTGAGGCCCCTGTCCTGCTTCTTGGTCTTTGGCCAGTCGGTCAACGGTGCCCCTTGGACACTGGGCACTTCCCCCCTCCCACCCACGAAGCGATAAGCGGGGGACTGCGCATGTCCTGCCTGAGCCGCCACCAAGGCCTGGAGAAGGGAGGAAGTGACCCCTGCCGCGCGGCCTTTCCGCTGCCAACCCCAAGGCGCCGACCGAGCTCCCCAGCGCGCCGGGCTCCCGGGCCCTCGGTCCGAGGGGCACTCCCTGGGCCTCTCGCCCGGCTTGCGCAGCTCCCGGGCCACCCCTCGAGTCGCGCCGTCCAACAAAGCCCGGGACTCGAGCCGCGCCCTCCTGGCCCTCCGCGAGGCCGCGGGACCCCCAGGGCGACCGGACCCGCGGCGCCCCGCTCCCCGACCCCCGGGGCACTCCCGGCCCGCCGGTCGCACGGCCCCGGCGCAGGGCGCCTCACTCACCCCGCCATGGCCGCGCTCGAGCTCCGCCTCCGTCGCCCAGGCCCGGGCGCCTCCATCGCTGCGCGCCGGGGGGAGGCGCGGAGCGCGCGCAGGTCACCATGACTAAGCAGAGCCGGGCGCCGGCCGTGTCAGAATAAAAGTCCCCGCGGCCCCGGGCCTCCGGCGGCAGGGAGGGCAGAGGGGCCGCTCCCCCCGCCCCCGCCGCCCGTCACCGAGCTGCGCAGCCCCGGCGCGGCCACCACTCCGCCCGTCAGCGCGGCGCGGCGCACCCAGCCGCGTGGTCCGAGCCGGGAGCACCAGAGCCTCGGGTTCGAGGCCCGGCGCGCCCCTGCCTGCACTGGAGATCGGTGGACAGCCCTACCGGCCGGCGCGCTCACCTCGGCCCCCGCGTAGCCTCGTAGCTCTTGCCGCGGGGTGGGGGTGCCCGGGGCACCGAGGCGGCTCCCGGCCCAGTGGTGCCACCCGCGCGCAGAGCTTCCGGGAAACCCGAGGGTCCGCGCGGCCCGGCCGGGGGCGGCTCCCGCTTAACTTTCGTTATGGGGCGCCCGCGGGCGCGTCCGCAGTCGGGGGACCTTGGCTCTGGGGGCGGCAAGGCCTGCGGGGTCTTGGACGTCGGGTGGGGGGCGGCCTCGGGTCCGCCGGGAAGGAGGCGGGGAGAGGGCGGAGAGGCGCGGTAGGGAAGGAGCCGGGATTCCCCGCCCTTCCCGCAGGTGCCCGGTGCCCCTGGGCGAGGAGCGGGCGAGGGCGCAAGGCCGGGGGGGGTGGGGGGGGTGGAGGGGGCGGCCCGGTCTGTCCCCACTTCGCACTGTCTCTTCCATCCGCCCAATTTCGTCATCTCGGCGCGTGCCTCCTCTCCTCCACGCGCTCTTCTCCTTTTTTAATTTATTTTATTTTATTTATTTGTCAGAGAGAGAGAGCGCGCGCACAAGCAGGGGGAGCGGCAGGCAGAGGGAGAAGCAGGCTCTCCGCTGAGCAGGGAGCCCGATGTGGGACTCGATCCCAGGACCCTGGGATCATGACCTGAGCCGAAGGCAGGCGCTTAACTGTCTGAGCCACCCAGGCGTCCCCCGCTCTTCTCCCTTTAACCCCACACAGTTTAGGCCTCATGGTCCAGTGGTCGCAGGATCCTGCTTGAATTACTTACCTATTTGGCTTTTCCTTGTCTTTATTTTTTAGTTACCTCCAATCTAGAGGCGCGTGAAGCTGGCCTACAGGGTTCTGAGGCCTGGCTCTGCCACTTTCTAGCTCTTCAGGGTAGGTCCATAACTCAACCTGTTTACACTTCAATTTCCTCCCTGGAAAATGGTAATAATACTAGCACCTACCTGCTAGGTCATCCGGAGGACGAAATGCAGATGCTAGTGCCCAATAGATAGGAACAATTGTTATTTTTCATGGCAAGGGATACTGATTTGCCATTTATGCTGATTATGATATGAAGTTCATTTTTTTTTAAATATTTTATTTATTCATTTGAGACACAGAGATACAGAGAGAGAGCATGAGCAGGGAGAGAAGCAGGCTCCCCGCTGAGCCAGGAGCCCAAAGCGGGGCTTGATCCCAGGACCCTGGAATCATGACCCGAGCTGAAGGCAGATGCTCAACCATCTGAGCCACCCAGGTGCCCCTGAAGTTCATTTTTAAATGTACTTATTTTTAAAAGAGCCCATTTAAGCCAAACTATGGGAGCAGCCTAAGTGTCCATCCATAGATGAATGGATAAAGAAGATGTGGTATATATTTATATTATTCAGCCATAAAAAAGAATGAAATCTTGCCATGTACAACAACATGGATAGAGCTAGGGGGTATAATGCTAAGCAAAATAAACCAGTCAGAGAAAGATGGATACCATATGATTTCACTCATGTGGAATTTAAGAAACAAAGGATGGGGCTCCTGGGTGGCTCAATTGGTTAAGCATCTGACTCTTGATTTTGGTTCAGGTCAAGATCTCAGGGTTGTGAGATGAGCCCCACAATGGCCTCCATGCTGGACGAGGAGCCTGCTTAAGATTCTTATTCCCTCTCCCTCTGCCCCACCCCCTGCTTAAAAAATAAAAAGGAGGGGCTCAGTCGTTAAGCGTCTGCCTTCAGCTCAGGTCATGATCCCAGGGTCCTGGGATCGAGCCCCGCTTCGGGCTCCCTGCTCCACAGGAGGCCTGCTTCTCCCTCTCCCACTCCCCCTGTTTGTGTTTCCTCTCTCGCTGTGTCTCTCTCTGTCAAATAAATAAATAAAATATTAAAAAAATAAAAAGGAAAAAGAGAGAGACAACCCAAAAACAGACTCTCAACTATAGAGAACAAAGTGGTGGTTACCAGAGAGGAAGTGGATGGGGGGATGGGTGGACTAGGTGAATGGGATTAAGAGTCCGTCTATCACGATGAGCACTGAGTAATGTATAGACTTACTGAATCACTATATTGGACACCTGAAACTAATACAACTCTGTATGGTAACTACACTGGAATCAAAGTTTATTTTTTTAAGATTAAGGATCCTGAGCCAAGGCAGATGCTTAACCGTCTGAGCCACCGAGGCACCCCTCAAAATAAAAATGAAAAAAAAAATTTTTTTTACAGTGCCTGGGTGGCTCAGTCGGTCAAGCGTCTGCCCTCAGCTCAGGTCATGATCCCAGGGTCCTGGGATCGAGTCCCGCATCGGGCTCCCTGCTGAGCGGAGAGCCTGCTTCTCACTCTTCCTCTGCTGCTCCCCCTGCTTGTGCTCTCTCACTCTCCCTGCCAAATAAATAAATAAAATCTTAAAAAAAATTTTTTTTTAGAGAGAGAGCATGAGCAGGGGAGGAGGGGAGGGTCAGAGGGAGAGATCGAGAATCTTAACCAGGCTCCACACTCAGCAAAGGGGCCAGTGCGGGGCTTGATCTCATGACCCCGAGATCATGACCTGAGCCGAAATCAAGAGTTGGAAGCTTAACCAACTGAGCCACCCAGGTGCCCCTAAAATTGTTTTTTTAAGAAAGACTATGTATCTTTGAAGAGACAGCCAAGGATACGACACTTTCAGTTTTCTAATAAAATGGCTTCATAAAAAATTTAAAAATTTTAAAAAAAGTATCTCATAGGAATAATTCTTGCCATATGTGATATACATTCATTCCTGAAAAGCTAGATGATAAACTGACCCAAATTTCAGCTGTACTTGGGAAGTCTGTTTCCTAAAGATACTCTATATTAAATCTTCTTTAAAAGAAAAAAAGAGTCCATCTAAACGAAAACTAGGCGAATAATCGAAGGAAATGCCAGGCTAAAAAGATGTTGGTCTAAGAAAAGATTCTGCCAGCCTTAGGAGTGAATTTTAAAAAGATTCAACATCCCTGCTCAAGTCTAGGATTAAATCCAAGCCAGAGGGTGGAAGGGGGTGTTGCGTGAAGCTGCAGTTCTGGGCTGCTCCAGAAGGGGCGCCAGAGCATAGTCAGCGAATAGGCAATGGCCCGGGGTTCCGCGGAAACCAGCACCTTCCTAGAATGTGTCTGAAGCAATCTTCTCCTATCTCAAAATCAAACCTAGAGGCCCTGTGACCCAGTGATACCACTTGTAGAGATTCATCCAAGGTACACTTGTACACGTGCAGGAGGATGTATGTACACGGATGTTTATTGCAGTACTGTGTATAAAGGCAAAGGATTGGACTCAACCCACGTGGCCCTCCATAGGATCCTGTTGTAATTAATTCCTTTCCATCCTGTGAAATAGTATAAAGCCAGTGAAAGAGATTAAGACATTTGCCTTATGGATGTTTATCTTGATTAAAAAAAAATTTTTTTTTAGTGCTATGGATTGAATTGTCCCCCACACCACCCCCCCCCCCACAAGATATGTTGAATCCCTAACCCCCAACAAGATGGTCTTTGGAGATGGGGCTTTGGGGAGGATGAGGCCATTCAAGGTGTGGCCCCATGATGGGCGTAGAGCCCTTGTAAGAAGAGACACCAGAGAGCTTCTTGATTTCTCTATACCATGAGAGGACACAGCAGGAAGGTAGTCATCTGCAAGCCAGGAAGAGAGTCCTCACTAGCACCAGATAATGCTGGTGCGCTCATCTTGGACTTCCAACCCCCAGAACAGTGAGAAATAAATTTCTGCTGTCTCAACTGCACAGGTAATGATATTTGTTATGGCAGCCTGAGCCAACTAAGACAGTAAGACAGTACAAAAATCTGTGGGTGTGCAACAATTCCAAGATATACTATTAAGTGAAAAAGCAAGATGCAAAGCAGTGCTAAAGTTGTATAAAAAAAAGAGAGAAGTTTTTTGTTTGTTTTGTTGTTGTTGTTTTTAAGAGAGAGGTGTTTACCTGTCAGCTCATTTATCCACAGAATAGCTCCCCCTCCGAAGGAGCCAGACACGAGGCTGGTGCCTCTTAGGGCCTGGGAGCCCGGCAGTCTGGGTTAGTATCCTGACTCAGACACTAGGCAAGGTACTCACCGCTTGGAGGTTCTTCATCTGTCAAACTGGGGTGAGGAAACCACCTTACAAAGTTGCAGTAAGGGTGAGGAAAAGGTGTGTCCTGGCCTACCACCGTGGGGATGACTAGCCAGACACAGTAAGCTGTAATTGTTCTAATTATTATATTTTTTTACTTTTTTATGAAGGATCTGACACCACACTCAAAGAAATCTTTTTCAGATAGGAATTGGCTGTCTCTCACAGTCAAATTTTAGTTTAGGGTGCCGTGTTTTTGGCATTCTCTCCTCTAAACTTGATTCATTTCTTTCTCTCACGCCCACACTGAATTCCTCAGTAATTCCCACCTGCTGTCTCCAAAATCTATTCAGAATCCACATAGTCTGAGGCCCCATCCTTGCTCTCCTGGGCCAGTGCAGGCACACCTTGTTCTAGCTTTGACCTTCACCCTTACAGATGTTCACCCTCTGTGAACATCTCAAGCAAATCAAGTCTGTCCTCCGCCTCCCACTTCACTCAGAGAAAAAGCAAAGTCCTGGACGGGGCCCACAAGGCTCTGCCCACTCTGCCCCAGCATTTTCCTGCCTTTGTTTCCTCCCACCACCCCCCTCCATTGTTGCTTTAGCCGCAAAGGGGATCTTTGCTTTTCCGAGAAAACACAGGCATGTTCCAGCCTCAGGACCTTTGCACTGCTGTTCCTTCACCCTGCCAAGCTCTTCTTTCAAATGTTCCCAGGGCAACGACGTCTCAGCTTACATCGTATGTCACCACTTCTGCAGAGAAGCATCCCCTGACCACCACCGCATCGCTGTATTGTAGCTGGAATCATATCCGTGATGTCTTCACCCTGTTAGTGCCTGTGTCCCCCATCAGAATGTCAATGCCACAAGGGCCGTGATTTTTGTCTGTTTCATTTACTGCTGTGCGGCTTAGCATAAATAAAACGCGTTTCCCTTGGTCTCTTCTGCCGCCACCATCTTCAGCTGCTTTTCCTACAAATTCCCTTATTTAAAAAGAAAAAGTCTGCAAAACAGCTCTCGGGGAGGGTACTGGCAGGCCAAAGGGCGTCAGTCCGCGGCCGGAGCGGGTACCAGGGTCCGGGCGGCTGTGGGCGCCCCAGGGCCGCCAGCCAAGCCGCTAGTGTCCAGCCCGTCCCGCTGGGGTGACGAGCGCTCGGAGCGGCTGGAGCTGCCGTCCAAGCCGGGGGGCAGCCAGCGGTTCAGGCCTCCCGAAGCCCCAGCGGGGCTCCCGGACCCCTGGGAGGCGTCCTGCCCTCTGTGGCAGGGGCGGCGGCCGCAGCAGACCAGGCGCAGGAGAGCGAAGCGCAGGTCGCGGTTGGTGAGCGTGTAAATGATGGGGTTCAGAAGCGAGTTGGCCATGGCCAGGCCCAGGAAGGGGTCGGCCTGCAAGAGCACGGGGCAGGCGCGCGCGGGGCACGCCACGTCGAGCAAGAGCAGCAGGAAGAGGGGGCCCCAACACACCACGAAGGCCAGGAGCACCACGCTGAGCGTGCGCAAGAGCGCCAGCGAGCGCGGCGTGCGGCGGGCCCGGCTGGAGGCGCCCCCGGCAGCCCCGGGCCGCTCCCGCAGGCGCCGCGCGTTGGCACGCACTTGGCAGTAGATGTGCGCGTAGAGCGCACAGATGGCGGCCAGGATGCCGAGGAAGGCGAGCACGCAGAAGAGCACGTAGGCCTTGGCGTAGAGCGGCAGGACGGTGGAGCAGGTGTCCAGGCGGCCCAGACAATTCCAGCCGAGCGCCGGCAGTAGTCCGAGGAGCAGCGACACGCCCCAGGCGGCAGCCGCCATTGCCAGCGTGCGTCCCCGCCGCGCGGCGGGCGCGGGTCCCCGGCGGGCCATGGTGAGGCGGCGCTCGAGCGCGATGGCCAGGAGGCTCAGCACGGACGCGGCGAGCGCCACGAAGACGCCACCTTCACGGGCGAACCAGAGCGCGGGCGACAGGCGCAGCGTGAGAGGCCCCGACAGCAGAATGTTGGCGGCGTAGGCCGCGCCCGCCAGCAGGTCGGACAGCGTCAGGCTGCCCAGGAGCAGGAACATGGGCGCGTGGAAGCGCGGGTGGCGCCCAAGCACGAACAGCACGGCCAAGTTCTCGAGCACGATGAGGGCACACACCGCCAGGCACACGACGGCGTCGGCACGCAGCCCCGCGCCGGGCTGGTAGCGTGCACCGCGAAGCTTGCCAGTGTAGTTGTAATGCAAGACGATGACCTCGCTCACCGGCGCCGGCCGCAGCAGCCTCGGCTCCATGGGCCGCTTGCCCCAGGGCTGCGGAGAGGTAAGGTGTAGTAAAAGGCCTGAGGAGGCGGGCACGGTGGGGCGGGGCCTCGGAGCCCTGGGAAAGGGGCCCTCACCCCCTACCCGCCACTCCACACTTACCCCGGGGCCCAAAGGGAGTTAGGGATGGAAAGGAGGTGGCCATGGAGACAGGCCGACCCAAAGACACGCAAATAATATCACGAGGGGACATGGTGACAGAGTCCCCCAGGAAAGGGACACGCGTAAGTCACACATCATCAGGGCTATCCAGGGGCAGACTCAATCACAAGCAGACAGGGACGCACACACGAATACAGTGACACGTCGCCAAGAAATGTACACCCAGTCACAAATTAGAGCAAAAATACACAGTCACACCCATAAGGGAAACCAGAAAATGTATTCACACTTGAGCAGAGCGACAGAGACAGAGACACACAGGGACCCAAATTCAGCCACAGAGAGAGTCAAGCCCAGTCGTACAGACCAGTTTCACAACCTCCACCCACAGCCAACCTGGAGCCTAGAACCTCACAACCTCCGTCCCTCGCTGCTCGCAGGGCTTTGTGTACTGCACATACTCCTTCATCCACCGCAAAAACCCCGTGAGAAAGCTGTCTGTCCTCCCATTTTACAGAGGCAGAGCCTGAGGGCAACAGACAGGATCCAGAAGGCACAGACAGGCTTTTGCAGAGGGGCTACGTATCATTAGAGTGTAATAATACTTCCCGCCCAAGACTTCACCCTCTAATCTCCTCGACAGCCTTCCCCTTAGTCCCAGTTTACAGACTGGAAGCTGTGACTCAAAAGTTCCTCGCATAAGAAGCGGACAGGAAGGTTCTCGTGTTTCAACACAAATACAGCTACTCAGAAATGGTTACACAGTCGCGCGAGTCCCACTTAATAGATGAGCAAATCGACGCTTGGGAAGGGAAACGGACTTATTTGCCCAGGGCAGGAACAAATGCATCCCGGGCGGCATCGGTTGCACTCAGGGAACCTTGCGCAAACACAGCCCCAGGGAGTCACGGACTCAGCCACGCTGCGGGGAGGGAGACATCAGATGCATGCAGACACGGGTGACGCTCTGATGGGGACACCGAGCATAGGCTCACAGCCTCTGCATCTCCCGCCTCGCCTCGGATTTCCTGGAAACAGGACTGAAGGAGCGAAGCTTGCAGTGTAGCCAGGAGAGGGCGAGGCCAGGGGAGTCCAGGCGCCCCTACCCCGATCCCCGCCCCCCCTCCCCGCATCCAGCCCGGAAGTTGCCGCTTTCCCTCCCAACTCCCCCCACCCCGCCCCCATAGACCTCCGGGGAAATCCAAACAAGGGGACCGGGGCTGCGGTCGGGGCAACCCCCTGCGGGCCGGGCTGAGCCCCGCGCACCTGGAGACCCAGGGCAGTGCACTCACCCGTGCGCCCTGGTCGTGCGCCCCCGGCAGTCGCGCGGCCACGAGCAGAGTGAGCGGACGCGGCTCGGGGGGCGGGGCTGGAGCTGGCCCGCGAGGGGGAGGGCCCACAACGCGGACCTCTGGCGGTCGACAGCCGTCGCCCCCTCCCCTTGGGGCCCGGGCACCCAGCCCATGGCTGCCAGCCTGTGCCACCCGCCGCGGCACCGGAACGCGCCCCGTCGGCGACTGGCACCGGCGAGCCCTTGGCTCCCCCCTCCGGGCCTGAACTGCTCTCCTAGGGAGGCTCCGTCGCGGTGGGAGGACCCCGAGAAGCGGGGAAGCGGAGGTTCGCAGCGGGGGCGGCCGCAGCCTGAGCCTCTTCCCGTCCCCCAGCAGAGGGGTCCCGTCTGTCCTCTGGGGCCTGGACACTGGTTGCTGCCCACTTCCCGCCTACCTTCCAGCTGAGCCTCCGGGCTGCACTCCAAGAACGCCCCGTCGGCGACGGACCCCCCGGCAGCGCAGGTTAGGAGGGGTCTTCAGCCGGGCGGCAGGCGATAGCCTCAGTCCCCTCACCCCAAGCAGTTATGTCCAGGTGGCTCCGGGGCGCAGGCCCCTCTCCATTTCCCCGCTCCTACGCCTCCTACGCCGGGCTTAGAGGGAGTTGGGGAGGCGCAGGTGAAGGTAGGATTCTGGTGGGAACCTCCTTCTCCCCAGATGAGGGAGATCGGGCTCATATGCCCTCCTGGCTCCCCCCACCCCGTCTCTGCTACCCTTATTGCTCCCAACGATGTGATTTACTCATTTAACATATTTCTGGGCTATGTCCCCACCAGACGGTCAGCCCCCACGGAGGCAAGGGTTTGCATCTGTCGTGGGCACTGCCGGGACACAGCCCAGGCCCAATAAGTTATCTGCCCAGTGAGTGAATGAATGAATGAGTGTACCCTCGCTTTCTGTGTGTGTATCTCTTTCATGGGGTCTCTCCGGGTCTGTCTCTCTCCCTGTCTCTCTTGTGTCTCTCTCAGTCGTTGGCTGTGTCTTTGTCTATGTCGCTCTCCCACGCCTCTCCCAGGCCTCCGCTCCTCCAACGGGCCAGTCCCAGCTGGCCCCACACCCCCACTCCCAGTTCCCAGGAGTTTCCTGGCCAGGCCCAGCTCCCCCCCCCTCAGACCAGAGGCTCCAGCCAGGAAGGGGGGCTGGGCCTGGTGGCTGTGACCTTCACCACGATGGTGCCCTTTGACTCAGCCGTGGGTGACATGAGGGTGTCCCAGGGGCCATGAGGGGAGGATTGGGGGCTGCCCCCAGGTGAGGGATCGTGAGGGGCACCCAGGCCTGATCATATCCTTATGTAGCCCTTTGGGGATCCCTGAGGCTTCTACCCCCGCTGTTCCTTGGGGAGACAGAACGGTTCCTGCCTGCTCTGACCAAAGACACAGGCAGGGCAGTGCAGTGGGGCTGGAGTGGGGGGATGCGGAATGCTTGGGTAGTGGTGCTCCACAACCTTGCCTTCCAAGCCAGCAGGGATGAGCCCTGAAGATTCCCCAAATGCAGTGGGGCCACCCAGATGCTGGATAAATGACCCCCTTCTGCAAAAGGGAAGCCACACCCCTCTTGGGAAGATGGCCTCTTCACACCTCCCTGGGCTCTATGCTGTCCAGGGCCCTCCAATCGCCACCCACCCCCCACCTCCTAGTGCCTCTTTTCTGTAGACTGGGACCCTGATTTCTCCAGCAGATGTCAGGAGCCTGGACATCTCTGTTCTTCCACCCGTATCCACCAGTCCACACCTGTGGCCACAGTTCTTAATACTCAGATCAGGTACCTCTCCTGCTCTAAATTCTCCCATGGCTCCCTAGGTGACTCAAAGTAACTGCCAAAGTCCTCACCACCATCCCCATGGCTCTGCTTGGTGTCTCCTTACTTACTTCTTTGCTATCCCTGCCTCCAGCCATCCACTGCCCTCCATCCCCGCTGGCCTCCTCCCAATTCCTCACACGCTTCCAGGACTTTTGCACTTGGGGATAGGTCTGCCCAGAACACCCTTCCCCCAACCCTTCCCAGCTGGTCACCTCCTCAGAGAAGCCTTCCTTGATCTCTCTCCCTCCTCCCCAATCCCACATGGCATCTGGCACCATCTGAAATTACCTTGATTATTTATTTATTCATGTGGCCTATTGTGTGTCTGTGCCCCAGACCCCCAGATCCAGGAAGGCAGAGACCCTGTCTGTTCCTCTGCCCCAATGTCATCTAAATATAAAGGGTTCAGAGTCTGTCGCCAGGCTCAGCTACTTTGTAGTCTAGGACCATGGGCAAATGATGCCCTCTCTGAGCCTCAGTGGCCTCATCTGTAAAATGGAGTTAATAACAGTGTCCATTTTGAGGGATATTATTGAGGATGAAAGGTATCAGAACAGAACCAGAACGAGGAAAAAAAACAAAACAAAACCAGAGGCAGGACGAACGGTGAGAGCTCAGTAAATGTTGGGTACTATTGGTCACCACCGTATCCCTGAGGAGGAATTAGGAGAGGACTCAGCTCAGGCCCCATGGGCCTCAAGCACCACCAGCCCCAACCCATGCCCTCCCACCCTACACCCCCCCCACCAAGTCAAGCCTGGTCTCTTCCTTGGGGAAGCACAGCTCACCTGATGCATGCCTGGGCCGGCACACCCACCAAGCAGGTTCTGCTCCCAGGGCCCTCACACAGGGGCTGCCCCGCCCTGGTCTGCACCCAGTCTCACAGCTGAGTCAGTGCCTGCAAGAGGACAAAATGCCTAACATGGTCCCCTCAGACCCCCACCCACCTAGAGGGCTGGAGGACCACAGTGGCGGGGGGAGGGGTTCCATTCTGCCCTCTCCACCCCCTTCAGACCAATTCTGAGGCATGAATGCGGCTGGCAGGGAGGTGCAAACTGACAACTTTCCCCCTGGCCAGAGACCAGAGCAGTCACAGTTTGGGGGATCTCAAACTGGAGGCCCAAGGGCCAAGTGTGGCCCACAACCCCAGGCCTGTTTGCTTAGCTCAGAGTCTTCCCATTCAAACAACCCTCTGACCTGGCCAGAAACACTGTACTTTTTTGTTGGTAAATTTGTTGCTCGAAGGGGTACAGATTAATAGCTCTGGGACTATTTATATGCTAGTGTTGAACAAATAAGTACATATGGTAGATCCTCACGGCCAGGGTTTCACGCTGTTGCAGAGGGAAGTTGCAAATAAGCAAGGTGGGGGTGCCCGGCTGGCTTAGGCGGTGGAGCAGTAGAGCGTACCAACTCTTAATCTCAGGGTGGCAGGTTTGAGCCCCACGTTGGGTGTCGACATTACGTAAAAATAAAATCTTGGGCGCCTGGGTGGCTCAGTTGGTTAAGCGACTGCCTTCGGCTCAGGTCATGATCCTGGAGTCCCGGGATCGAGTCCCGCATCGGGCTCCCTGCTCAGCGGGGAGTCTGCTTCTCCCTCTAACCCTCCTCCCTCTCATGCTCTCTGTCTCTCATTCTCTCTCTCTCAAATAAATAAATAAATAATCTTTAAAAATAAATAAATAAACAAAATCTTAAAACAACAACAACAATGTGGTGCTGGACTCTGGTTAGCAGTATGACATGTTTATTTTAATAGATATAAGGGGCGCCTGGGTGGCTCAGTCGGTTAAGGATCTGCCTTTGGCTCAGGTCATGATCCCAGGGTCCTGGAATTGAGTTCCACATCGGGCTCCCTGCTCAGTGGGGAACCTCCTTCTCCCTCTCCCTCTCCTTCTGCTGCTCCCCCTGCTTGTGCGTGCTCTCTCTCTCTCTCTCTCTCTCTGACAAATAAATAAAATCTTTTTTTTAAAAGACAGATATGAAAATAAATATAAATGTGTGTATACATGGCTTAGTAAACACACACATATTCCCTAGTGCTATCTGCTGAAGGTTCAGAAGCATTGATACTCTAGGAAAAAAATGAGTACACTCAGCCCCTGGGTCTTGGTCTTTAAATACCATTTTCCAATGCAGGGACCCAGGGCTGGAGAAATGGCTGATTCTAGGGCTAGGGCAGAGAAAATACCAAGCCTGGACACTTTCCCAGAAAGTCCTTAAAACAAGCTGAAAGGACACAGGAGCCAACCTGAAAGAACTTCTCTTGGCCAAAGCTGGATCAATCTGAGAATAAAGTGAATAAGCGTAGTATTGGATTATAACCCAAACGATGAAATAAATGTCCACAAGTCCATACTGATTAAAAATACATGATTAAATCCATTTAAAAATGGAGGAGAAGGGTCAAATCTCCCTGACTGGAGACTTTCAATTAATAAATGTGGAATGAGGGGCGCCAGGGTGGCTCAGTCGGTTAAGTGTCTGGCTCTTGGTTTTGGCTCAGGTGGTGATCTCAGGGTCCATGAGATCAAGCCTCGCATGGGGCTCCATACTCAGCTCAGAATCTGCTGGAGAGTCTCTCTCCCTCTCCCTCTCCCTCTGCTCCTCCCCCGTTCTGCCCACGCATGCTCTCTCTCTCAAATAGACAAATAAAATCTTTAAAAAAAATAAATGTAGAATGAACAATGAAAATAGAAACTAGCCATAAGAATACCACAGTAATGACTGCTGCAGGCAGAATCCACTGATGGATGAGAAATTTAATGGATAAAACTTTAAGGAGAAACAGGACATTTGCATAGCTTCAAAGTTTCTACTCCTAAATATTTATTAATCATTTTGATCTCTTGTGAGGTGCCTGGCTGGCTCGGTCGGTAGAGCATGCGACTCTTGATCATCGGGTTTTGAGCTCAAGCCCCACATTGGGTGTAGAGCTTACTTAAAAATAAAATCTTAGGGGCGCCTGGGTGGCTCAGTCGTTGGGCATCTGCCTTCGGCTCAGGTCGTGATCCCGGGGTCCTGGGATCGAGCCCCGCATCAGGCTCCCTGCTCCGCAGGAGGCCTGCTTCTCCCTCTCCCACTCCCGCTGCTTGTGTTCCCTCTCTCGCTGTATCTCTCTCTGTCAAATAAATAAAATCTTTAAAAAAATAATAAAATAAAATAAAATCTTAAAAAAAAATCACCTTGATGGCCTTAATCTTTGTCCACAAATTCTTGATACTCCTTCCCATAAGGAGTGGAGCTAAGTGGCCCCGTCCTTGAGGGGGAATGGACTTGGTGCCTTGCTTCATAGGACTAGGGTATAGTACAAAAAAAAACTGCACAGAGAGGTTCATGGCGACTTTAGTCGTAATTGCTAAAAGTTGGAAGCAACCAAGGTGTCCTTCAGTAGGGGAATGGATAAACTGCAGGACACCCACACACAGGAATATTATTCAGCGCTAAAAAGAAATGAGCTATCAAGCCATGAAAAGGCAGGAGGAGCCTTAAATGCATATCACTAAGCGAAAGAAGCCAGTCAGAGAAGGCTCCATGTGGGGCGCTGGGGTGGCTCAGTCAGTTCAGCGCCCAACTCTTGGTTTCCGCTCAGGTCATGATCTCAGGGTCATGGAATCGAGCCCTGCGTTGGGTTCTGTCTCTCTCTCAAATAAGTAAATAAATAAAATCTTAAAAAAAAAAGAAAGAAAGAAAAGAAAAGGCTGCATGCTGTTTGATTGCAGCTCTATGATATTCTGGAAGAGCCGAAGGTGTGGAGACAGTAGAAAGCTCAGTGATGGCAGGGGTAAGGGGTGGAGAAGGATGACGAGGTGGGGCGCAGCGGATTTTTATGGCAGTGATGGTGGATACATGTCATTATACATTGGTCCAAACCCATAGAATGTACAACCCCAAGAGTGAAGCCTAATGTCAGCTGTGGACTCTCGGTGATAATAACGTGTCATGTTAGGTTCACGAGTTCTACCCAATGTGGCAGTGTGATGTGGGATGTCCACAGTGGGGCAGGTTGTGGGGCAGCAGGGTGTATATGGGGACTGTGTACTTTCCACTTAATTTCAGAGTAATACAACTGCTCTGAAAAATAAGTTTATTAATTTTTCAAAACACCTTTGCCATTTCAAGTGGGCGGATGCTCCCAGGCCACGCCGCCTGGTGGCTTTGGCCATGTAGATTGCCAGCCTGGCCTCTGAAGGTATTTGAGTTTGGGATTC